TTATATTTAGGGCCCGGAATTGTATGAAATTGCATATTTTTATATATTAAACTAAAAAGTAGCTAGGTAAGACAGAAATTTGAATCTTAATCTAATGTGTTGGTATGCGAAATTAAATTTGGTATATTTTTTATGGCATTATTTTTGCATATTTGGAACATTTCAAATTATTATGCATATTTTAGCATTTTTCTGAAATATAATGCATAAATAGAAAAAAATATTACGAAGTTATTAATATTATTTATTACTTAGCACATGTCCATCGTAAATTCCGTGAATCGTGCAGTCATATAATTTGATTTTTGTGTTATGATAAGATAAGATAAAGTTTGCTTTAAAAATATAAAAATCCGCTTGATTTGTTTAAATTGATTTTCGTTCGTGACTTATTGTTTAGATGAGTGAGTGTTTAAAATACAATTTAATTTCAATACAACATACAGTTCCATACAGCTCAATAAAATATATAAAATACAGTTGATGTATATTTTTTGTTGAATATTTATTATTTAATGAATTGTATATATTTTAAAATTAAATTAATTTAATAAATAATAAATATGCATTTTTGTTTGCATATTTTCGCATATTTTGAGTGCAAATTTGAATGATAACCATCGCACAAATGCATGCATATTTCGTACGTTTTTAGTACATATAATTCCGGGCCCTAGCTATAATTTTTTATTTGAGCTATTTTGTTGTTTTTATATTCATAAACGGTGTTGACTTTATTTTAATTTTTTTTTTAAACTGTTGGAAAAGAGTCGTGCGTCTTCCGTTGCGTTACACCCGCACGACCAACAAGTTTATTGATAATAGTAAATGTTGAAAAAGGCGCGAAATTTGAATTGGATTAATTAAAACGCGATATTTAAGAGCTATCCTGGGTTTCCTAATACGCGCACGGTAGTCCTTTGACATGGTCCGGTCTATTTGAGTTCTGACTTAACCGGATCATGATGTGGTCTGGTCCAGTATTGTCGTTTAAAAATAGGTGAAGTGTTGGTTTGGTCCGATCAGTGGCGGTGCGTCAGGGGAAAGTTTGAGACAGCATGGCAAAACAAAATTTTTTTAAATATTTTTATATTTTTGAATGATTTATGTATAATATTTCTTTTGTCGACAGTATTTACTATATATATAATATATACATGTATGTACGAAGAAATATTCTTTCCATCGTGATGCGCGTATGGTATGTATACATATACGCTCTGGTAAAACAGCACTACACTATTTTTGAAATTATCGATAACGATAAACGACGGATAACGCGGTCGTTAAACGAATGAGACGGTCGATCAACAGTCTCAATTCTAATATTATAGGTGGCATATAAAAGTTCTGAGGGAGGAATTACAGAGATAATGGTTTATGTATGGAGTCCGTGACGGACCATGAGACTAGTCCCAGTAGTTTATGCTACTGGGTGGTGCGAAATTATATTTGTAAACTTGCTGCGTTCTTGTTAAAAATTAAAAATATGGTATCAAAACATTATACATTAGAAGAAGTTATTGGACGGAAAATATACCCTTAAATTTCAGTTTGTTATTTTATCAGTTTTAATTGTGTCTATAAAATGAATATTAAGTAATTGAAGTTCGAATTTAATTTATAATATATCTTAGATATATAAGAATATAAGAAACGATGCAATATATCAATATTTTTTCAGTAGTTTAAACAATTTACTTACTGTTGAATAGTTGTCTAACAAAAATATAATTAACTATAATCGGAATTATTTAGCTAAGTTAATCAGTTAGTACGGCATATATACATATATTAAATAAAATACTAATATTTCAAGTAAAAATGTATATAAATAGCCTATAGTTGAACAAAAGTTAAAAGTCTGCCTGTACATTTTGTTCACACTGCTACTGGGTCCGTTCCATATTTTTATGAAAAGTTATATGGATATGATAGATAACGAACCATGATTGGTAACATTATATGGACGAAAAAGGAAAGAAGAATTTATCGAATGTAATACTCAAGGCGATTTTTTAAATTTGTGGCTTTTGTGAAATTAATAGGGCAGTCAACCCCTCCGGATTATGCGTTTAGATTGTGATATATATTTTATATGTTTTGTCTTATAACTAAAATGATATGCTATGTTTTTTTTTTTGTTTTTGTTAGTGTAAGAATTACATTTAAGACTTAGTAATAAATCGCTGTTAAAATTTAATATAAATTATTGTTCGATAAAGTAAAAATTATATGAAAAGTTTACTTAAATTTGTATTAGTTAAATGGTTTTTAATTTAGTACAGTTCAAAAATACTGAATAAATTATACAATAATAATTAATACGATTAGTTATATTATTAAATTACATTTTTAATATTTATTTACATTAGTCTAGTACAGTGGCGTATACAAGGGGGGTGTTTGGTAGATATAACACCCCCCCTTGAGTCGTATCATATATTACATTATTATAGGAATATAAGTAAATCGATAATACAATATGAAATATAAAATAATGCACAATATTAATTACATATATACAGGTTAACATTATCGCGATTGCGACAATACGTGACGAAAATTATTCGTTTACGTTTTTTGTTAACACAAAACTTTTAATAATAATAGGTATTGTAGCATCGAATACTGATATTCGAATAGTCAAATATTCGAATACAATATTGTAAAGCTATCCGAATTCGAATATACATTACATCTCTATTACAGACATTATGTATACATATTAATCAATTAAAATAAAAGTTTTAGTTTGTACGTATTATATATAATATTTAATAATTATAATTAACACCCCCTTCAGAAAATCCTAGCTACGTCACTGGTCTAGTATATTGGAAATTGAATTAAATAATTCAAGTACTGAATGTTTGTTTTATATTAACTATTTAGAAACGCAGTTTTTCAGCTGTAAAGCAATATTCGAAAGATTTAGATTTTCGTAAAATAATAAATGGTCGAAGAATGAAGTAGATTTTCATTTGTTGCTCATTTAAATACATTTCATCAAATGGTAAATATAATTTATAATTGATCGTCACACAAATATAATACATAGTTAATAAAACATAAAAGCGCAATTTTTTATAAATGGATAGAATTTTCAAGAATTTTCTTTCTTAAGTCTTGAGTCTTGCACAATACACGTAAACAATGTAAATGAGGACATGAAATCGTGAAAGTAAAACAGTCGAATAAAAAACATTAGAAAAACACATAGACTTATAATTTATTATAAGTCTATGGAAAAACAAGGCACACAAAGTTTTTAGAGATGCCTCATAATCATGTAAACAAAGCCAAAACCCGCACGTTACATCTTATCTAGTGACGTCATTGTAGTATACAATTGCTGGGAGATAACCGCGTCGTATTGGAATTGTGCTTAAATACGAATTAAATAACAAAAAAAATAACAAACAAACAACTCTCTTAATGTTCGGAGTTGAAATTGATGGCTTTTCTTGTATATTGTCTAATAATAATTTTTATGAATAAATCCTTTTTTCTAACTATAAAATTTAAACTAAAAACCTTGAAGGACACTTTCTGGGTTTTCCGGCGCTTGGGAAGCTATCGTTGAAATCGTTATCATTGAAATGTGATACAATACCATTTTACGGTGATAGTGATATTAGACCGTGGTATCGTTCAGCGCATACATTTTCCAGTGAACATAATATGTGTGTTGGTTGCGACGACGCCATCTTAATGAAAATATTCCTTAACCGTAATCATTCACGAATCATCTGCGTATTTTATTTTTCTTTAGTTTTTCAGTAAGGAGCCAATACATGTAGTAAGTGCTAAATTTTTTTATTTATTATACTTAAGTTATGTTTATGTAATGCTCGTGGTTTTGAATACAATTGAATCTTTGTACGCGTCATACGTTTTGTCCGAATCCTATGCGTCGCTTAGAATTGGTCTGTTGTTTGTTTTACACGTTTCGTGTGTTACGGTTATTGTCGGACGCGGGAAGCTGATAAAAGTAACTTGGATGTTGTCCATTTGAAAGGGAATAACAGATGTGCATTTCTATAAACCTCGCGGTTCATGTGCTTTTGATTCGGCGGTAGTGCGGTATGTCGGTGTAGTGTGTCCCAATAGAGAAATCAGTTTATTCAATAGTGTATTTAGTATTTTTACATACATTATAGCTTGGGTACGTTGTTTTTCATTTTTGTTTTCGGTTTAAAACATTTGGTCTACTTTCTCTAGTTTTCAGTATTTTTGTTTGTATCAAGTATTTAAAGGTTGTTTTTTTTTATCCATAAGTAGTTGTCAACATGAAAATATGTTTATAATATGGGAGTATAATTCATGTATTTCAAATATTCAGAAACTTATAATATGATTTGTGAATACTATAGAATAACATTTAAATATCTATTATTTACCTATATTTATTCAACTGATTAAATGCTTTTGAACTAATTTTTTTAATTTGAAGTATTATTTTCTTTAATTTGTTTGAAGTATACTAACTTACCTTATACCAACTGGGTTTGATGTGTTATCGTTCTTTGGAACATTCTTCTGAAATATGTTTGATATAATGGTTTACGCAATGAGTTATTTACAGTATATTATTGTTCAATTTTCTGGTTAGCAAGTTTTTGTAAGATAAATAACTTATTACCTAATTAAATTCATGTTAGGACATAAAACAGGTAAAATTGCTGTTATTTTGAGTAAAATCTTAAATTCAGAACTTTTGACCATTGTTTTTTCCTTATCACTTTAAAAAGCAGTATTATATTTTATTATTGCTTATAATTTTATAAACAGTATATTGGCTTGTTAATTTTATTATTTGTTTTAATTATTTTACTTGTTTTATTTATGTTGAAATACTTTTTATTTTAACAAGAATGTTATGTTATGTCAATATTAAATAAGTACATTTTATTGATGAATTTGTGATGAGAAATCTAAATATATTTATTCTTTAAGTAGTATTAAAAACAATTGATTTTGAAATACAGTATACTTAATTGACAAATTTGAATCAAAAATGGCAAAAAGAGTAAAGTATACATGTTATTATTTTTCTGTTTTCAATTTTATTTATTTTCCCAATTATTTTTAATTATAAAATATTGTTTAAATGTTTCAATTTATTTTTTTAATTATTATCGTACTTATATTTTTATATTCTAAAATTTGATATTAGAATAACTTATTTGGTTTAATGTTTTATGATAACTGCATGGTAAAAACAAATTTATTTATGTTTTAATTTTTTGTACATTAAAGTATATCATTCATGAATACATAATTTGTTTTTGAAAATGTATTTTACATTTTATATTATGTACATTTGGGCTTTTCATTAAGTTTTACAGTTGAAATTATTTATTTTATTCTTATATCTCAGTTTTGACTATTCCTTAAAAATGAAAATTATATGTATATGTAGAACTGTATTTACATCTTCAAATTAAACTAATGTTAAAGATATTTATAATATTTTTATATACATTGTGTTAAGAATTTTTAATTCTTATTAAACACCTTTTGATGTTTGGTATCTGATATTATTTGATTTAAGAAATCAATAGCAGTACGAAAATCTGATTAATTTTTAGTTAATTTAAATTATACTTTTGTTTTTTTGTTTCAGGTTTATAAAACAAAATTTGTTTTGTTTGTGTGTGTGAATGTCTTCTGAGTGAATGGAGCAGTGACTAGGTCTTAAGTCCAAGGTTACTGTTGCGTATACTTGTCGTTTGTCTGTTTTTGAGTAAGTTTATTTATATAAATAATATATATGCATGTACTTAGCTGTCATTAATTACAATAAATTAATAATATTTTTTTAATTTGGCTTTTCATTTTTTTTTTTTTTTTGAGAAAAAGGTAATTAATTCTTGTATAGTTAATTAAAAAATATTTATTTTTTTTTGTTATTATATTAAATATTATATATTTTATAATTAATCATCTTGAGTTTTAATATAATATCAATATATAAATTAAAATTGTTCTGTTTATATTTTTGCTTTTGAATTCTACCAATATCTTAAGCACGAAGTAATTATCCTTGAATTTGTATTTAAAATCACAAATTTGCATAATTATTCTTTTAATACATATTAAATATACTGATTGTAGTTATTTGTTAATTAAAATAGAGTGATATTGAACTGTTATAGCTGAAATTTAAGTCTCATAAAAAAAAAGAAATATGGCTACGATGACAGAACAAGTGTCCAAGCTTTTGGATTTTTCTCAAAAACTTGATATTACACTTTTAGAAAATATTGTTGGTTGTATGTATACGGGCACTGGTGATCAAGTAAGATTATAATTTTTATTTACAATATAAGAATAATTACAAGTGTAATGAATTTTTTATAGCAACGAGCTGCTCAAGAAGTATTAACTACATTGAAGGAGCATCCTGACGCATGGACAAGAGTAGATACTATACTTGAATTTTCAAACAATCAGCAAACTAAATATTTTGCTTTACAAATTTTGGAACAACTGATTAAAACTCGTTGGAAAGTATTACCTAGAAATCAATGTGAAGGTATTAAAAAGTATATTGTTGCACTCATTATAAAAACATCTTCGGACCCAGGAACAATGGAACGTGAAAAAACTTATTTGAATAAATTAAACATTATCCTTGTTCAAGTGAGTTTATGTTTAGGAGAATAGTATGTTTTATGAAGTTAAATATTGTGTTTTATTTTTAAGTATTAATTCTATATAAGAGATATTTAATTATAATAATATATTTTAGGTTTTAAAACGAGAGTGGCCAAAAAATTGGGAATCATTTGTTGGTGAAATAGTTGGAGCTAGTAGAACAAATGAAAGCCTTTGTCAAAATAACATGACTATATTGAAACTGCTAAGTGAAGAAGTATTTGATTTTTCAGCTGGAAATATGACTCAAATGAAAGCAAAGCATTTAAAAGACACAATGTGTTCTGAATTTGCACAAATTTTTGAACTTTGTCAATTTGTCTTAGTTAGTAAAATTTTACTTCAAAAAATTTACTTTATGTTTTATAATTACATTTTTAGTGATTTATTAAATTTATAACCTTTCAGGGAACTTCTCAAAATGTGGCTTTAGTAAATGCAACACTAGATACTCTTCTTAGATTTCTTAATTGGATACCTCTTGGTTACATATTTGAAACTGATTTAATTGATACATTGATTTTTAAAGTAAATTTGATATTTAATGTTATTGAGTCTCATTTATATTATTGATTATCTAACTTGTTTAATGTATAATGTTTTAGTTTTTTAATGTTCCTATGTTTCGAAATGTTACATTACAATGTTTGACCGAGATTGCTGCAGTAACAGTACCAAATTATGATGCTGCATTTGCAGGTCTCTTTTCAAAAACCATGGCGCAACTTGTTCTGGTATAAAAATATTGTATATTTATATGTTATATTTCTTTTATCTACTTTATATAATTTTTAGATGTTACCTATCCATACAAATATTAAAGAAGCGTATGCATCTGGACAAGACCAAGAACAAAATTTTATACAAAATTTGGCATTATTTTTATGTACATTTCTCAAAGAGCATGCTCTTTTAGTAGAAAAAAGTGGATCTAATGAAGATTTATTGAAAGTAATATTGTAATTTAATTATAGACTAATTTATTCATTGTGATTATTTATTTAAGGCACTGCATTATTTGGTCATGATATCTGAAGTTGATGAGATTGAAATATTCAAGATTTGTTTAGAGTATTGGAATAGTTTGGCAGCTAGTTTGTACCGAGAAAATCCATTTGGACAGTTGCAAATAGTTGGTCTTTTTTCACTTTCTCCGAATAGTAGACCAGATGGCAACACTATCTCCCCTAGACGACAATTTTATGCGCCAGTTCTATCTCAAGTTTGTTGTATTTATTTATTAGTATTTTTATTTTAATAGAAATAAATTATGAATTTTAAAATTATAATTATTTTTTATACAGATGCGTTACATTATGATAAGTCGCATGGCTAAACCTGAGGAAGTTTTAGTTGTAGAAAATGAAAATGGAGAAGTGGTTAGAGAGTTCATGAAAGATACAGATGCTATAAGTTTATACAAAAGTATGAGAGAAACTCTTGTTTATTTGACTCATTTGGACTGTGTAGATACTGAGCGTATTATGACTGAAAAGTTGCATAATCAAGTTAATGGAAATGAGTGGTCTTGGAAAAATTTGAATACTGTATGTATTTATTTTCATTAACTTCTTATTATAATGATTATATAAAGTTATTGGTTAAATATTTTATTTAGCTTTGTTGGGCTATTGGCAGTATTTCTGGAGCAATGCATGAAGAAGATGAAAAGAGATTTTTGGTCACAGCTATTAAAGATTTATTAGGGTTATGTGAACAAAAAAAAGGCAAAGATAACAAAGCCATTATCGCTTCCAACATTATGTATGTAGTTGGTCAATATCCAAGATTTTTACGGGCTCATTGGAAGTTTTTGAAAACAGTTGTCAACAAATTGTTTGAATTCATGCACGGTAATTAAATAATTTTAGTATTTACTTAATTAAGTAAGGGATTTTTAATAGTTATTAGTAAAAATTAAAACTTAAATTTAAGCTTCATTACAAAAATGAATATTAGAGATTTAAAGTGATAGAAATTTATATAGATAAAACTTTTTTATTTATCTTTTAAATGCTTATAAAGTAATTTTTAAGAAACCTACCATTAATTAATAATTATAGGTAATATATTAAATATAAATATTTAAAATAAAATGTTAGGTTATATATTTACAACTTGCATCTTATATTTTAGAATAATTATTAGGTTTATTATTATTATGAAATTTATTTACAAAATTTTTTTTTAAGAATTTCTAGTTTTAGTTTTTAATATTTGAATAAAAGATTAATTTAATTATATTTTATTTATCATAATAATTTTATGTTCAAGACTTCATTATTTAATGAGGACTGCTGGTGTATTTTCCAAATTATATTTTATTAGAAAGTTTGTAAATCTGAAACCGTTTTACCCAATTGTAATACTTAGAAAAAAATAAATTACTTAATACCATAATAAATTCTGTAGTGAAATAATTAAATATTTTTCATCAAAAAATTATAATACGTAAAGAGCAGTTAATAACCTATGTGGCAAAGGCCTTCATTTATATTAATAATATAATATTTATTACTTATATACTTTTATACAAGTGATAATAATAATTATATCACAAGTGCCCTATGATATCAGTTTTAAATACAAATCAAATGTTCATGTAGTGAAGATAGTAATAGACTATTACTATATACAAGGAATGGGCAATTCAAAGTAACTAGAAAGCTAAATTTTAGAACTTCTAGCGGGTCATAGTTAAGAAAACATAAATGAAAAAGTTGTTTACAATTAACAATTTGCATTTATTTTAATTAATTAAATTTTACGGTTGTACCAATACAGTATAATAAGTACCTAATACCTACAGTAAAGTTAGCTATGCATATAAATTATTTTTAGACATTTAATGATTTAGCTGTAGTTCGATGCTAGAGAAAAATATAATATCTACATTACATCATGAAAAAATTAGATACTATAATAACATTTTAATGTAATAAAGTAATTTTATCATCATGATTTTATAATCGATCTGTTTTTGGTTTCAAAATTAGCTATTTGTTTTATTGACCTTCCCAGCTTTGTTCTTATTTACATGTAGCTCAATTTTACATTAATATTTTAATTATATGTGTTATATTAAGTGATAAACTTATAAAAATAAAAACTTGGTTAGGTTATTATAAATTTTCTTTTTTTTTTTTTTTTAATTTAAAAATAGTTTTATTATTGTTATTATTGCATTTTATTTAATCTGTCATGACAAAATACTATATGCAAATTTAGATTTTTCGAAAATATGAAATAACATTTTTTTTCTGAGATTATCTTTAATCAAAATTCTAATTATTTCTGTTTAATTTATAGACTAATCTATAGTAAAATTATTATTTAGATGCTAACTTTATATCATTCTATGTGATGTATAATTAATAAACCTTTTTTATGATATATATATTAGCAGAGAGCAGGTATCCTGAATTTCAGAAAATCGTTTTATTTCCCATATCCCAAAATTCTGTAAATAATCCAACATTTTTCGAGATTCAGGAAATATGTTTGATTAAAAATTAGAAATTTTGTATTTTATAATTTTAACTAGTTATCATTATTATTAAAAAAGTTTATAAACCATTTTAAATTATTGTATAATTTGATATTGTGTCTAAATTAGTTAATTAATTAATAAATATTTTTCCAATCTATTTTAGATATTTCATAGTTCATTTTTTTTTTTATTTCCATTCCAAATTTTCTTTAGTATATATATTAAACTTACATTAATCACTTGGAATCATCAACAATATTGACAACTTAATATTAGTATCCAACAAAAATATTGCAATTTTTTCAACAATCCCATTGTAAATAAGTACCCATTAGATCTAGGAAAATACCCTTAGACAATTTTTTTTACAAAATAAAAAAAATATCAAACAATTAAAAAGAGTAGGGAGTCGATAATTGAAATAAAAATATATATTGTTATCAAATATCCTGGAAATTGAATAATATCAATATTTAAATAAATATTGTTGAATACTCCAATTAATAATAACATTAACATGACTATATATTGTTCAATATTATGTTTTGTTTTAAGTAGTAAAATAATATGGGTCATAAATATATTAAGTGGATAAGTGATTGTGTAAATAGTTGTATAAATGTTATTTAACTTTATTTTTAAGTTTACTTCTATGATGATAAAGTGCCATGCTAATTTTGATTTAAAAACATGAAATTAAAATTAATTTTTTCTGAGATTTTAATTTATAGAAATTATAATTATTTCCGCTTATAATTTTAAAATACTGCTATATAAAATTTAAAATTAGTATTGATTTTCTAACCTTATTTTATTCAATTTAATTATATGATTAATATATCTTATGAAATATATTAGTTACTGACTAATATTAATAATAATCTAAAGCATGACTTGTTTTGTTAAATTTATTGTGATTTTATGTTTTACATTAGGCGTTACTGTAAGTATAAATTGGGTTAATTTTTTTATTTTTTAAATAATATTAATTTTATTTGACTCAATAGTACTTCTATGATGATTAAGTGCCATGCTAATTTTGATTTTTAAATATGAAATTAAAATTGATTTTTTTCTGAGATTATTACTATTTCTGCATATAATTTCTATAGAATCGTTAATAGTTAAGTAAGTTAGTATTTACTTATTATATAGTATTCTATATAAAGTATTAGTGAAATACTTTTTTTATAAAAAGTTTTATAAAGATTTATTAGTATTTTAAGTTTGTTTCTAATTCATTTTAATATATGTTGTTTGTCCTTTGAAATTAAGTATTTTAAATTTAAATAGTTACTATTATATATATATATATATATATATATATATATATATATATATATATATATAAGCATATATTATATTGGTGCATATAGGTATATTTTTATGTTATTTAATGTTATAAATTGAGATAATTATTTATGAAATTATTACTTTTATTATTTTAATTGAATAACAAATCTACATAATTTTAATTTTTATCATTCAATGAGGAAAATCGCTTATGTGATGGCATTATATGATTTTGATTAGTCTTTCTGAGAATATTTTTTGATTTTTGTTTAATTTATTATTACATTTACAATTTTTTCATATTTAAAAACTAATTGTTCAACAAGTTTTTGACATTTTTACTATGTATATGATTCTTACATACACTAAAAAAATTAAATGAAGATAACTTCTGAGGAATCCCTGATGTATTGTATACAGAACATTTAATATAATTCATCTTTTATACATTATATAGGTGTATAATACATAAATACATTGAATTGTGATTTTATAATATGGTTATAATTATTTTTAGATTATATCTATTTAGGTTAAAGTGTAAAATAAATTTAGTAATTCTATTTTAAGGGAATTTCTTACAGTTATTTTCAAATGATCATAAAACTTATTCTAAGATAATCAAGTAAAAATTATAATTTGAGGAAAAACTGATGTTGTAAACTTAATACTATATGTATTTTAAATATATTTATATATTTTTTTAATAGTATTCTAACAATTTGTAAAGAATATTTGTATACAAACATTCAATGATGAAAAATTGCAATTAGTGATTACAATAAAATGATTTTGATTAGTCTTTCTGAGAATATTGAGTGTTTTGTTATGTAGATTATAAAATGCATATGATTATAAATTACATGCTAAAAAAGTAAAGTGAAGATACCTTCTAAGGAACCGCTGATGCATTGTATCCAGAAAATTTAGTTGTATTTGCTATATTTTTTTTATTTAATGAAAATCTTTTGTTACGTTATAAGATAAGATTTTGGTTAGTTAACATATGAATAATTAAATTTAAGTTTCTGTAATTTTTAAGCACTGTTATTCTGTATAAGAAAATTTTAGTTTCTTCTAAACTTATTCGCAAATGATTATAAAACTTGTTCTAAGATAATTATCTAAGGAATCACTGATTTTGTTTTTTAATATTTCATGAATATAATTATATTTTATATTTTTTGTTAAATAATTCTATGAATTAGTAAAATATATTAGTATATAAATATTCAAAGATGAAAAATTGCATTTAGTGATAATAATAAAAATGATTTTGATTAGTCTTTCTGAGAATATTGAATGGTTATCTTATTATTTTTCTATGTAGATTTAAAAAAAAAATTTATATTTCTTATTTTATTTTATTTTAATGCAAATGATAAATTACATTTATAAATTATACACTTTAAAAATTAACTAAGATAATTTCTAAGGAACCACTGATTTATTGCATCCAGAAAATTTAGTTATTTGTTATATTTTGTTTATTTAATGAAAATCAAATATGGTGTTTAGAAAAAAGTTAGTATTAATTATTTTAAGATTATTTATATTGAAGGTTCTGTACAGTTAAAGTATGATTATTATATTAAAAAAAAAAATTTTTGTTTTATTGATAAGCAGATGATTATAAAACTTTTTCTAAGATAATTAAGTGATGATAAAAATCTAAGGAACCACTGATGCTTTATTTTTTTGTTTAACATTACTTATTATTAGTAAAATGTATTTGTATCAAATATTCAAAGATGAAAAATTGCATTTAGTAATAGAAAAAAATGATTTTGATTAGTCTTTCTGAGAATATTGAATAGTTTTGTTTTTTTGATTTTAAAATAAAAACATTTTTTTATATTTGTTTTATTTTAATGCAAATGATTAAAATTACATGCTTAAAAAATAAAATGAAGATAACTTCTAAGGAACCACTGATGCATTATACTAAATATTATAAATCCTTAAAATAGCAGCTTATTTTTTTGTGTATCTATTAGATAAATTTGTTGTTTTTAATGATTAAGGAACAAATTTAGTATTTATTATAGTACTATTATCAGTTGATATTATAGATCAACAGTTAAATATTTAAAATAACATTTAATTAAGAAATAACTAATAGAATTTATGATATTTATATATATATATATATATTTGAATAAAAAAAAGGTATAGGAAAAATAAATCTTCATTGAACTGAAGGAGAAAAGAAATTAAAATTTGATTAGGTTTCATATTAAATTCAAACTCATTAAGTTTTATAGTAAATAATTGTAATTTACATCTATGTAATATTTTATTAAATGTTTTTAATAAATTTTATTTTGCAAAGATAATGAATCTAAGCAACTATTGCTTATGCCTAATAATTATAGCATTTATTTTTATTTTATTTTTTATGAGTAATAAACATGTTTCATTATGAATATTTCACTATTGACACTTAACTATTTAATATTTAAATATTTTTATATATTATTTATAAACAAGTCACATTGTAATTATTTATATTTTAATTGTTATAACTGATGAAATATTTTATTAATTATTATTAAAACAAAATTTTGTTAAAGTATCATGTATGTTGATAAATTTCATTTTTTTTTTTTTATTAAAATTATATTGATTAGTCTGAGAAATTACTCTTAGATTAATTTTATTTGCATTTTGATGAATTTGAATAAGTTATTTTAATAAATTACTTCTAACATAATTATTATTTGTATTTAAAAGTGAGTTAATATATTAGATTATATGTTATATATGTATATATAATTATTATTGTTTATTTTAACATATGTGCTTTATATTTTTGTAGAAACTCATGATGGTGTTCAAGATATGGCTTGTGATACCTTCATAAAAATTTCAATGAAATGCAGAAGGTATTTTGTACAAGTTCAAGTTGGAGAAGCTATGCCATTTATTGATGAAATTCTTAATTCAATGGCTACAATTATTAGCGATTTGCAACCACAACAAGTAATTTAAGTTTTACTATCATTGTAAATGTGTATTGTAAATGGTGTTTTAATTTTAGGTGCATACATTTTATGAAGCTGTTGGTATTATGATAAGTGCTCAAGTGAATTCTAAAATTCAAGAACAGCTTATTGATAAATATATGCTGTTACCAAATTTAATTTGGGATGATTGTATTAGTCAAGCTTCAAAAGTAATAGTTTTTTTTTTAATTTTTTTTTTTTCAATATTTTTTTAACATTTTTTTTAAATATCTATTTTAGGATGTAGAGATATTAAAAGAACCAGAGTTTGTCAAACAATTAGGTAACATTTTGAAAACAAATGCTAGAGCTTGTAAATCTCTTGGACATCAATATGTTGTTCAAGTTAGTATTTTATTTTTATTTATTAAATATTTTTTCATAATAATATTATGACTGCCTATATTATTCTCTCATGTATAGTTGGGTAGGATATATTTGGATATGTTGAATATTTACAATGTAATGAGTGCAAATATTACTGATGCTATTGCAACCAATGGAGATAGTGTTACTAAACAACCTTTGATTAAAAATATGAGAGTTATTAAAAAAGAAACATTGCGTTTGATAGCAGATTGGATTTCTAGGTCTAATGATAATGCTATGGTATGTCATTCTTGGTTAATCATACATATATAACTGCAAAATGTATTGTTAATTGTTTTATTTTAGGTATTAGAAAACTTTATTCCTCCTCTATTGGAAACAGTATTGGCTGATTATAGTAAAACTATGCATCCATCAGCTAGAGAACCAGAAGTACTTAGTGCTATGGCAACAATAATTGATAAACTACAATCAGATATAACACCTGCAGTATCCAAAATTTTGGATGCTGTGTTTGAAGCTACACTTACGATGATAAATAAAGATTTTGAGCAGTTTCCTGAACATAGAACAAATTTCTACCTCCTTCTACAAGTATGTATTCTAAATAAATTATATATTTCTTATTTGTAGTATAATCATGCACATTTATTTATTGAAACTTTATTTTCAGGCAATAAATAATCATTGCTTTGTTTCATTCCTGTCCATACCAGCTCCTCAATTTAAATTAGTTTTGGATTCAATATTTTGGGCTTTTAAACATACTATGCGTAATGTTGCTGACACTGGATTATTGGTATGTGAATAAGTTTAAAATTAATTTATTTTAATAAATAATCTGAAATTAATTATATTATTTTATTTATGAAATATATTTAATAAGTTTATTAAAATAATAATAATAATAATTAAAAGACATAATCCTAAAAAATCAACTAAAAACAAATATTATTTCTAAACTTATTATTTATAATTTTGCAAATTTACTAAAAAATAAAATAAGTTTACATGTAATTGAAATTTTTATTTCGTCGTTTTATCATATCTTATGCTTTGATATAATATTGCTATTGATATTTTTTTCTATGAATTTAATAATTTAATATATAACTTAGCAAATACAAAATTACAAAATGAAATATGTCATGTTATACAAATTCTTTATAAACATTTTGGAGCTAAAATTACATTTGGCCTCGATGTAACATTTCATTTTCCTCACAGTTACTAAATATACTATAAAATAAAGTTAAACACACAATATTTGATACTTCAAACAAATATATAAAAAATTATAATTAATACTAAAAATAAATAATTAAGTGACTTTCCTATTTTTTTATGATTTTATTTTATAATCAAATATTAATTATCATTTGATTTAAATATTATAGTTTATTAATAATATACAATTTAAAAAGCTTAATTATGTAAACAAATCAACTTTTAAAATAAGTTATATACGAAATAGATTATTCAAAATACGGAACTTAAGTGTTATTTTTATACTTGTGTCAGGACACCAGGACACTTAATTCAAATACGGAACAATTCCGTAAAATATGATCCCTACATAAAACCTAACCTAACTAAATAAAATCTGTTATGAATAATGAGCGAATAATGATCTTTTTTTTAGATATTGTACAAATTATTACAAAATGTTCAACAACATAAACAAGCAGCTCAAAGTTTCTATGTATCATATTTTACTGATATTCTGCAGCATGTTTTTTCTGTTGCTACCGATACATCGCATACTGCGAGTAAGTGTTATAACTTAAATAAATTACTATATACTATTAGTATTAATTTCATTAAAAATTAAATCATTTTTAGGTTTATTAATGCATGCGCAAATCTTATCCTACATGTTCAAATTAGTTGAGAGTGATAGGATTGAAGTTTTGTTGAGTGCACCTGGTGCTCCTCCAGACGGTGAAGTCACTGAAAAAAATGTTGCTTATGTTCGTGATTTTGTAGCATCATTACTAAAGACAGCCTTCCCTCATTTGGCTGATCCTCAAATTGCCCTTACTGTGCAAGGCATGTTTAATTTGAATCACGACCTTGTAGCTTTTAAAGATCATCTTCGTGATTTCCTTGTTCAGATAAGAGTGAGTTATGATAATAATTATTATAAGTTAAATAATAATACATTTCCTCAACATATCGATTAAAATGTAACTAAATAAAAATCAATTAAAATGTAATATATAATTTAATTTTTTGTTTTTGGCTTGACTATTTTAATATTTATAAGTGACCTTTATGATAAAATATAAATTTTAAGTATTATATGATTATTTTTTTATATTAGGAATTCACGGGAGAAGATATATCTGACTTGTATCTCGAAGAAAGAGAACAGGCATTAAGAGCGGCTCAAGAAGAAAAGCGTGAAGTGCAGAAGACTGTACCTGGTATATTAAATCCACATGAAATCACTGATGATATGCAAGATTAAAATAATGAATTTTTGGCAAATTTCGCATAACATGCATATACTTGTTTTGTTACATTTGGTTATCATTTTATTCATAAAATCCATCCATTCGAAGCTGAACTTATAATATTTTATTTTTAGCATGTTTAGACATTTTTTTTTTTTTTTTTACTGTCTTTTTTGCTAATAAGTAAATAGTTTGTAAATTTCATTGACAAACCAAACTTTTTAACATTTTGTATGTTGAGAAAAGTTTATACTAAAACTGAAAAATTGACTGGCTGAGAATGATTTAAGTTAAAACTTACTGGTATTTGCTGTTGCTATAGGCATGTATTTTTTAACCCACCAATTCTATTTATTTAGACTACTATTTGGTAAGTTTTTATATACACGCAAAAATAAATATATATGTATATATATATTGTGTGTGTGTATTTTATATAATTAATATATATATATATATATGTGTGTGTGTATCTTATGTTTTTAATTTTATTATACATTCAAAATTAAATAAACAGATGATTAAAATCTTAAGAATCAATTGATTTAATAATTGTAATTGTAAATATTTCAGTAAAACATGTGAATTCATTTTTTTTTTTAAATTATTGAAAAGTATGGTTGGGAAATAAATTTGTAGTATGTTGAATTCTTATACAAGTAAATAATTAAACAAGGTTTATATTTAAAAACCACCCAATTGTAAAAATAATTGTACAAATTTTTTCTTTACTATTTTTATATGAAATGAGTTGGAGAACTTAATCTAGCAGATTAGCATTAGATTTTTTGTTATCTATTATTTGATAAGTTCACTGTAATTTGTTCTCAATTAGGTTTTAGATTTATTGGCATTTAATAAATTTAAACTGATATCTTTTTGACACAAATGGTTTTTTTTTTTATGTACTTTGTAAATACATGATCAAATATGCTTAAATATGCCTGATCTTTATATTTGTTATTTAAAGTTTTATCATTTAAATTTTTAATTTTCTATCTTAGAATAAATAATATTATGATGTCACATATTGAAGTGTATCAATTGTGAATAACATAAAAAATACATAAATAGAAAATAAATAGATTTTAATAAGTTCAATCAATTACGTTTCATTATTTAGATTAAGATACTCAAAACCTAAATTGATTTTATTATTCAGTGTATTCAAAGTTTAGTGGTATGCATAATGTTAAATTAACAAAAAATCAAGTTTTTAGTTTTCATTTTACAATGAGTAATAACATGAATTCTTGAATGTTTTTGGCTGTTTAGTTTTCATAGTTCAATATTAAATGTTGCATTAATGTAAATTGTAGTTGACGGGTTTGAATTGAATTTCATTTTTTCTTTTGCTTGATTTTCTATAGAACTACTCCCACAAAAATAACACTTTGATTGCTAAAAATAAAAATGTTAAAAAGAAATTCATTCATAATATTAACTACTTAAGGTATTAAAAAGTTAATGTATAGATAATAAATTAATACACAATATTAAAATTCTTAATTTTTTGTGATCTAATATTGCTTAATTATTGATTGAAATTGGTAAATTAACATATGTATTTATAATTTTTGTTTGCGATAATATTATTTTTTGGTAAACCTCTTTTTACAAGTTTATTTATCTTTTACCTTTTTTTTTTCATGTATTTGTTTTAGTTATTTAAGCCGATTAATATATATATATATATATATATATATACATTTTCTTTTTGTCAACATTTTAAATTAAAATAAAATTTTCCAAATTTTTTTTAAATTAAAGTAAATTTTTTTCTTTAATTAGCAACATATTTATGAAGAACCTTGTATTAATTTTAAAAATAATTTGTCAGTTTTTATTTTTTGAGTCACAATAAACATAAAAATTCGATTTTTTTCTTAAAATTTGCAGTTTTATTTTGTATTTAATATTTTGTTAGTTTGGCAATAATTAAAAACTGTTAGAAAATTTGTAAGATAGTCATTTCGAGGAAGCTCCCCCTTAAAGTACCAACTAGACAACATTTTTTTTTATAATTCTCAAATGATTGTGATGATAGGGGAAATATCCTGGTCAAAATCGTGTACACAGACAACAAAAAATCACATCAAGGTTGAACCAATACATTCCTCATTTCACTCAGAATCTAAACTATTTTATCATAATATTTATTTTTAATTTTACTGTTATTTCTGATTCATTTGTTGAAGTTCTTTTCCTGAAAGTGTTATTATGTTGATCTATCATTTTTGAAGTTCGATAAGTGCAATTTTGATGTTTTTTATTTTCTAAAAAAAAAAAAAAATTTTATTTGATTTAATATTTATGATACAACTGAGCACTTTTTTTTTTATATTCAATCGATAATGTATAATAATTTAACATTATATTTTTTCTATTTATTCACTAAAATCGTACACTATATTATTCAGTTTTTTTATGTATGCAGAGTTGTGTTTAGGAATTTTGAATATATATAAATTATTATAAAATATGACGAACTACAATTAATTTTCAATACGTGCGTTTAGTGAACAAACGGATTATTATTTCGTCTGTGTTATCATGTGTAATCCGGCAAAATCATCCGTAAAATGTTTCTGATGTAACGTTACATTAAAGTGTGACACCAGACTATAGTGAAAACTGAAAAGATATTATTCTTGAATTTGAGACATTGTATAAGCGGATGCTTAAAATAAATTGAACATAATTCATAATAAGCGGAGAAGTATTTCTTCGAAGAGTTGGAAAAATCATATAATGAAGATAACTTCAAAAGTTCTTCAAGATCTTGAAAACAGAAGAGTTCACGTTGTACTTCGCCACAATAATCTATTTGGTATATTAATAGAAAGTATTTAACATTTATTACAATTTTAAATAAATTGAAATTAAAATAAAATGTTAACAATTTTATATTATAAAGGGAAAACAGCAAAGAAAAATTGCTTATTACTAGACTGGTATCATTATAAAATATAATGATTTTGTATCGTACTGCGAGTTAAAACAAAATTCGAAACAGTAAGAAGTGAAGAATTATAGCCAATGAGTCTTTGGATTGTTAATACATAATATAGGTAGTTAATAATAATATTATTAATTCAATCTACTCTTAAGAAAAAAAAATTGTTTATTCTTTGAATTAAAAATGGACTACGTCAAAAAACTGCTATTTCGATTTTTTTTTTTATATTTTACTTCTTTGATCAAATTCTTGTTTATTTGTGCTCAAAATTTGATTTGAATTGCTGTTGTTTTTGTTTAAAGTACTTGTTTTCAGCCTCTCGGAGTAACTTTGATCCCAGTCTCTATTTATTGATGATGAAAGCGTACTAAGGTTGTTGTGTTTTTGGTCATATTCGATAAGCTTTCTCAAATCTAAATTGTGATTAATGCTTAATTAAATGTGGTTCAAAATCTTTTTGTACTAAGTAGGACGTTACACCCGCATACGAGTAATAATACACCCTCTTATATTGTCACTATTTTATAATAGTACAACATAGAAAATTTGCGTTCGGTAGTGTAGTATTGTGTCGTATAGTGTTATGTTGTTACGTTTTAATATTACAGTAAACTGATCTGTTACCTATCAAACATAAAGAAAGAAAAAATATCTCTGTTTTTTTTTTGGATAGTTTTACGATATTTTATTTTTTAATTGAGTTATGAGTTTTTTTTAATTGTTTTATTTCATATACTCATAATTTGTTCAAAAATTTAAACATCGTATATACCGAAAAGAATCCTAATAATATTCTTCCCTATATATTTGATAATAGGCCAATTTACTACAATATTAAAAGTAACAACTTAAAATTTTAATTTCTGAACGCAAATTTGCTTTGTTGTACGTTTGTAAGATCGCGAATATAAATGCAGGTTCTCATGTATATGATTATTTATCGTTTAGAGCGGTGGGCGTTTATAAAATGTAATGTTGGGTATTTTCCAAATGAATTTTTTTAGGAATATTAATTATATTGAGTTTTAAATGAATTTATTTTCAATACTCACCTTTAACGAACTCATCTAGTAGATTGGGCTCTATATGCGTGTACCCCAAGATGTCCAAGTGCCTCTTAACCTCTTCTGTGTCAACTTTCATTTCGTAATTTAAACTCAATACATCATATGTAGTATAATAAACGAACTGTTGTCAAGGTTATGATATAGATTATATTATATTATAATACTAAGCAGTCTAATGTTTATCAAGTGAAAATGTAAAAGTGTTTAAATTTCATTGATGGGTCGATAATATAAATAATTATTTTATATATTTACATTTTGTAACTAAGACAGTTAAATATCTAAGTAAAATGCAGTATTATAAAATAAGACCCAAATAAAGGTTCTTCGGAATGTGTATATGATTTAAATATATTCGACCATGCAATACAGTTGGTTTTTGTTTATCTCAAGTACGATTTAAAATATTTAATATCTCTAATAGGCAGCAATTCGTAAATTTTAATAATTGTAAGTCATCCTTAGCTGTCATACCCTCTGGTGTCCCTTAAGAAAGGTCATCTCAGTTTCCTACTTTTTATCTTATTCGTTAACTCAATCGATCACCAAGACTAAATTCCTCCTTTTTGCTGACGATGTTAAAATTTAATGATATTTCTTGTTACCAGACTATACTGTATTATAGTTATTCATTCCTATTTAACGAAAAATTAGAATGAAAGAGTCCAGAACAGGTTTCTTTCATATGTTCCTTTCTTACTTAAAGTTGTTCATCCTCAACACAGCTACTCAAAAGCACTTATATTGCACTCTTCCCGACGAATTGATATTCGTTTTATTCAAAGTTTACTTGATGGATCAATAGATGCTTCTCACCTTCTTTCCTCTATTAATTTTCATGTTCAAATTTATCCATTAAGAATCACACGTTTTTTTATATGTATATATATTTATATATTTATTATATTATCATTTATATATTTAAAAAACGAATTTTGAACGAAACAAATATCTATATAGGTTCATTCAATCAATGATTGACATCATATTTTTGAGACTTCACAACAGTCGTATTGTGATAAGTGATCACAATAAGTAAATCATTAAAATAATTGCTAATATTGTACCAGATCGTTCAGATCTGACTATGTACAAGGATATATTGCTGTTAAAGTATTATTGGTGGATCATGTACATTTTGTAAAAAAAAAATACCACAAATTCAATTCATACAAATATCGTTTGGTCAAATATCATAAGATATTATATTTTTTGTTATTAAATTCAAACAAATAACACAATAATTCAATTAAATATAAATAATGAACTTTCCATGATCCAATTGTAATAACTGGATTCACCTATTAGTATCTCGTTGATTTTCTGTCGAAATGTATAAACTTTTATTAGTCGCATCTACTGTAGTATCTATTTGGTGCATTATTCCTGAACCCATAAATTTAGGAATTTTTCATTTTTAAAACGACAATCGGTAACTTACTTTTTTCAATAACATTGCTGTGTAACACAATAAAATAAATATTAAATACGCAAATTAATCAATCAATTAATAAGCAGATATCAACCTAAGTCGACATTCTCTTCGTTTATTGCCTTTTCTGTATCTGATTTCTTATCGACATAATATAGTTTTTCGAACGCGTTACTCAATCTATAGGTGACAATGATCGCTAAAAGCGTGTTGAAAGCGAACATAAAGAACATGTATGACTGTTTTTGAAACAGAAGAAAATGTTTGTTGTGAATGAAAAACAAACATTTATAATAATATCATTAATCGTTACTTTTTTTTCAAACAATACGGTTTTGTTGATGAAAATCACAAATAAATTTCCAAGAGCTACAGAGAAATACCACATGGATATTGATACGGTTTTCATCGAATCGGGAGCCTGGAAAATAAATTATTTGTTCTGACGCGAAAGAGTAATGGCAAAATAGATAGGTTTATTGACATTTTTGAAATACAAATATTATTATTACTCATATGTATATTTTTACTTTCATTTTTAATCACAAATTTATTTATATTTAATGAAATATAATTGAAATATAATTACATATATTTTGTGCGTGGTATAAATGTAGTGAATGATGAGCAAGTATATGAATGTAATTAATACCTCTACTATGTTGAAACTATAGTCAGAAATCTTGTATTATTTCATTGTTATAAAATTAAAAATACCAATAATTTAATAGTTTTCTTTAATGATCTTTATCTTTCATAGCTTTAAATCAGCGAAGTTTATTTTATAATGATAAATAGTTTTAATTTTCGTTTTCAATTTAACTTTGGACAAATAAAATCAGCAGCTAGTAAACTAAGGCTAAAACTTAAAACAGATGTAACGAAGTTTAAACTTTTTTCTTATTCAACTCATACATTACTTTATATTTATGTACCTATTTGTATACACACTATCCCACACACACACATAACTTAATCATTTCCGTTATTTTGTAGTAACAATTATTTAAGAATGATGCTACGAATTGTTTAATAATTAATTATGGATGAAAAAAATTGCATATAAGTCATAAAAATGATTATTAATATTTGATACTCGTTTTTAAAAAGTCTGTGTAAATCAATCAAGTCAAAGTTCAACAATAAATCAATTGAAGTATTTCTTAAGAAAACTGATGAAGGTATTTAGTAATAGCGCAACATATTTGGAATTTTAAAATGAATTATACAGTGATTACATAAGATTGTACAATAAAAAATGTGGTATTTACTTCAGAAAAAGAAAATGCTAATCCGGTCATAGTAAAAAGTGTTTCACCGAACGCCATGCAAATAAATTGAGGTAATAACCATTCTTTACTCAAGACATTTGGTTCTACTATTGTTTTGGTTTGATATTTCTGAAAATATAGACTTTAACTTTATTTATCGTACGAGTGTTATAATATTCGTCAAATTTTTTTACGAGTTTACTTATACTGTTGTGCTAAGTACTGTTACATTTGATAATATTGATATAGAACACTTACAGTATTTTTTCCATTATTACATACTTGTATACTTTGGTATACAAACATTTGATCAGTTCCAAGATTCAGTACGTTGATTAATTTTGGCTGTCGATTTTTATCTGTATAATTTATCATTAAGGTATACCTTGAAATAATAATAATAAAAGTTATTAGAAATATTCGCTTCTCGCATCGTACATAAATGGTTGGATAAATATTAAGATATTATTTTTATTTTGAATTTATTATTAGAAATTGTGCAAAAATTATAAAAAAATTTAGACAACAAGATATAATAATAAATAAACTTCCATAATTGTTTACTATTCATGCGTTATTTCTGTAATAATAACAAGATTCATTAATTTCCTTCATTTTTTTTTTTTATTAATTTTCGGAAAAAAAAGATAAAAGAAATTATTATAATTTCAAAATGTTATCAATACACGCTTTTATACTACAACATTATTTACTATTCGATTATTCTATTATTCTATTTTATTCTTCTTCGACTATTCTATAAGATTATTCTTAGACGTATAATTACATAGCATAATGTTTAACAGCTTATGAAATGTTAATGTCGTAAGACGATGTACATAAAAGCTACATGTACTTACAACCCCTTAGGAATTTGTAATGTTTCGGACTTTAAATGAGTAGAAAGTGTTTTTTCAAAAATGGCAACCATATTACTTGATTTACACTTCAATGTAAGGCTCTTGATTTGTAATCTTCTTGTATCATTGTTGTTAGCTGGAAAAATTATACTAGAACGAAGAAAAATAATAAAATATATTATTATTGAATACATTGAGAATTCAAAATATTACTAAATAGATGATTTGGGTTTTTCAAAATTTCTGGATACGTTTTCCGGTATAAGCACGACGATACGTGAATTAAATGAAGAATAATTGCCTTTAAATGAACTTTTTTTTGATCCCATCACTAATAAGACAATTGAATTCTAAAAATTTTGTAAACATACACAATTAATATTAACTTAAGGTCCTTTAAAATTATTTTCAAGCAAACATTTTTCTTTTGTTTAATTTAAGTATTTGAATGTTTTTTTATCATATTTATTAATTTTACATTGATAATAATTATGTAATATGATGTATTCTTTATAATTGAATAGCTATGGGAAGAAACGATAATAGTAAAAAAAAAAAAAATGTTTAGATATAGTTATATCATCTTGTCATTTGTTTTGAAAACTAAATTAATTTTTTTTTTATAAATTTTATCAAAAATTAATTCTATAACCACAATACTTTTTTTTTTTTAATTATTTCCCATTTCATCACTCGATTCTATTCAATAATTATCGAATAAAAAAAAAAAAAAAACGCTTTGTGATGTATTCTCACCTTATTTCTCTTGCCTCGCAATCTGATGATTTCTCGGTTATTTTTGGTTTTTCGTTTAGGGTTTTCATTGTCCGCCACTTGGATTTTTATAGATTTTTCATGCACACGTATCGGAATCGTAACATTGTCCACAACGAAACATTCCTTTTCGGGTAGTCGTTGCAATCCCAAGTTCGATATCCACACGTTCGCCGAACACGGTCTAGCGTGCCACGCAACACTCCGACGGTCATCGGACATTCTCACTTTTTCGGCACCATTCTGTAACACACGCGCGCGGTGGGTGCACAGATCAGAATTGGATTTTTCCGGCGGTTTTCGCGAGAGGGACAGAAATGGGTCTCGAAAACGATTCTCGTCGCGCTCACTTCCAAACGCGTTTCGACGCAACCGGCGAAAACGAACGCCACGCCGGCCACGCCACCGCCGAGCAGCATTCGCTTCAGTGGGTACCGGAACGTGCCGTGGGTTTTCAGCCACGGGTACACCACGCGGTCCATCAGCGGTATGGTGAGAAGGACGAGCAGCGGGTTGACCACCTGCAGCATGCACACCGGGAACCGGACGCCGAACAACCGGCCGCTGGTGCGCGACGCTTGGAATATCCACGTCGTGTTCTGCGCGCGCAACAATTGCCGTAATTAATCGGTACGGTTTCCGTGCGCGTGTCTGCGGTCGCGTCTCCGCACGAGTAATTCTTTCCTATTTTTTTTATTATTATTTTTTTTTTTTTTTAATGTAGGTGATTCTTAACCGCGACCGAACCGCGCGTCCGCAGCCCTACAACGAACAATGTCACTGGACAAAACCGTTTCGGCGGGACTGCGGTGGTCGCGTCGTACTCGTTGGAATCCATTCTTGGCCGCGCGACTGCAGACGCGCGCATAGGAACCGCATTTATTTTATTCCTGTTCTATGGTTATTTGTTGATTTTATATGATTTTCTATGACTTGTCATGCTTTTATTCGTATTATTTACATGTATATTAATTTTGCTGTATTGATGTTATGTGTTATCAAAGGAGTGTAACAGTCAGTAGCCGTACGACGAATAAAAATAAATAGGAAACATCGTTAAAACGTTGAAATGCAAAACGTTCGTGGCGCGCGTTTACAATTCATTTCGTAACCGTTCACCTGCTGGTCGAACAGGCTCCAGAACATGGACAGGGGCACGTAGAGGCTGAGCATGCGCAACGTTTTCTTCGTGTCGTCGATCACGCAGTTCGGGAAAGACGGTTCCGCGCGGTCCAACCAGTGCACGTGCTTCCGCCGTCCGCCGCGGCTCCGCGTCAATTTTCTCCGCAAGGCGAACTGTCGGGTCATTCGACGCGCGTATGAGTCAGACGTCGTGACCGTTTGGGGGGCTTTACGTCACCTTGGAGCAGCGGTTCCCGACCTCTTATTTTCGACGGCCCCCTTTGCAGACTTTAAAAAATCTGGCATCCCCACCCCCTCTCATATGAATTAAAAAAAAATCGATCACCTTTCTTTTTCGCGTATTTTACAAATGAACTACATAATATTCGGAATCGATCAATAAAAATTGTATTTCGTAATAACTACTTGCGCCTCCTCAGCAATGTGTACACGCCAGAGCCGTACCGAGCCATTTTTTATCCTGAGGCAAAACTGAAGCAATGCGCAATCGTTGTAAGGTTGTCACACTCACAGCTTTTAATATGTATAATACGAGTCGGAAAAATCTGAAAAATTGTAATTAGGTTTCTAGCAAAATAAGAAAAAACATTCCTAAAAATAAGTTAATTATTTAATATTTTTACGTTCCCCAGCTTCAGATGCCCAAGGCAAGTGCCTCGCTCGCCTCACCCTAGTTACGGCTCTGGTACACGACCCCCTCCCACTTTAGGAACCAGTGCGTCAGAGGATGTTAGAGACCCCGTTGATTGTTTCGTTTTTTTCAATATTATTGTATCCGAAACAGTTTTTTTTTCCGGGGTCGAACCAAATGTAAACCGAAAACATCCATTCGCCGGGGGTACAAAACGAATTTAACGGATTTTTTTTTCTCCGCACGCACATCGATGCGAGCGCGAATGTCAATTAGTGCTTTTTAACGAAACCCCAAAAAATATCAATACCTATCCGGAGCGATTGCGCTCGTTTGGTTGCGTTAGACATTATTCGAATGAGAAAATTATACGATGCTCTAAAAGTTTACTCACACAAATGCATTCGATCATTTTTGGTAATACGTTCGCTACAGGTTTTTTGAAAAAATAATACGAATTTCCGCAAACGAATACACCTGTGAATGGAAATCAATATTGTACTTATGTTACAATTTTACTAAGTATATTGTATGGATTTGGAAACTTATTGAGATATTTCTACTGGAAATAGTAAAATTCAAAAAAAAACCAAATAAAGTAGGTTGTACAATATTTATTAACGTATTGTTTAAATGATAAAACAACCATCCATTGATAGAATTAATCAGAGGGTTGTGCACGTAATAAGGGTTACAAAATATTTTAATTTTGATAGTGAAAACTACATATTGTATAGAAAATAGATTTCAGTTTGTTAGCAAAATGTATGTAAAAAAAAAAAAAATAAATAAATAAATAAATAAAAATAAATACTAGTTACAAGGGATCGAAATGAAATTCAATAATATGTAATAAATTATCTTGGAAATTTCGTAGTGTCATATTCTCACTTATGTTAAGCAGTTTTTAGATACTCTGAAATATTCAACTATCGTAAGGTATTCTCACTGATAGAGGTCGTCATCATGATGGCAGGCAATCCAAATCTAACGACATACTCGTTGACGTTGTGGCCCTTGTAAGACAAGATTTTGGTGATCGCAGGCGATGCGAACATTCCGAAAAACACGCCCAGATGTATGGAAAAATAGAACGTGCTGAAGAATACGCGTACGTGTGTTGCACTTATGTTCTGATCGGTTTCGATCATCTGATCCACGCCGAATGCAGCGATACAGGACTTTATACCGCCCATGCCAATTGAAACAAGAACGAGACTGTACAATACCATGAAGCTAGAAAAGTACATCTTGTTACCATTATAAGTATACATTATAATATACGGGGGGGAGGGGCACGCATATTACGCGTAATACGTAATACGCGAACATATGGTATACACATTGTTATTGGCGTAAACGGATAAAAAAAAAGGTAAAACAATACATTTATATTGATCGCATAAGCAGAGTAATTGGTGTACCGATGTTTCACGGAAAATTTTCTATTCGCCTAGCTCGACTAATTTTAAAATACAATTGCTTGTAAACAATTAAATATCGACGTTATGATCATGTAAAATAATGAATTAATTTAAAAAATTTACAGTAAAAAGTATAATCGCCAAAACGTTTGTGGAACATCATCTAAAACAGCAGTTCTTAACCATAGGGTCCTGACCTAATTTTGGGTCGCCAATAATTTTAAATGGGTCGGATAAAAATTTAAAACCTTGGTATAATATTTTTATTTTTAAGTCTTATAAATAATAAATGACACCTCATGTACATTGGTTATCACGGGGAAAAGTTTTAACGAGATTTTTTGAATTAAGAACTGAAATATAAATATTTTTAAGAGAAAAAAATTCACTGTTATCCAACCATTTTCAAGATATTATTTGGTTGACAAAAGTTGCGTATCCATCAGATATTTTTTCGTTATTAAATGAGTTAAATTTGAGTATGCAAAGACCATTAACTAATATTTTTACATGTTATAATAAAGATATTAACTACAATTAAAACCAAATCAAGAAACAAGCTTGATGTCGAACCCACGATGCGTATTTCACTTACAAACTCCATAGAAACTTAAATTGATTCATTGGTAAAGCAACATCAAGACCAAGGAAGTCATTAAATTAAAAATTATTTAAAAAATATGTATAATACAACTATTAAAAGAAATGTTTATTTTTAAATATAATGTAATTAATATTATGACTTGTTATGAATACAAATAATATGAGTAAAAATTTTTATTAAATTAAGAGTAACAAATAGTTATTTTTTATCCTGTCATTGAATATTATTTATAGAAAGGTCGCAGGAAAAATTTGGTAAATATCTTGGGTCGCCACTAAGCAAAGGTTAAGAACCGCTGATCTACAATAACATTTTAAGGATAAAAATAAAATAATTATTAGTTTTAAATATTGATTTGAATGAAATAATCTAAAAATAAATATAAATGTTCTATTAACTTCATTGATTTGTCTGGTGGTTTTATAGTTGTCCAAAACAAAATTAGTATTCCAATCCAATAGACGGTCGAGAACAATAAGATTGTTCTAAAAAACAATAAAAAAATAAAATAATAATAATAATAATATATTTCATAAATTATATCCGTTTGTTAAAGTACTTATGTAATTATATATATGTCAATACTAATTTTAGAGTTTACAGAAAATATTATTTTCTTTAACTATCCCTTTAAACGTATGTGTTTGTTTACATAAACACATTTGGAGTTCCAATCCATTAATCCGCATTTTGAGAGAATGTTTTCCCCATTGGGAATTCAACGTTTACCGCTTAAAAGTAATTATTGTATTATTTCTGTAAATTGATGTGCAGTTAAAACGCGGTAATCAAACCAAAATAATACCCTGATAATAATCGGTACGTTTACGGGTTTTTAGAGGACAATGGGGTTAAATAATTGCTCCCACGATCTTATTTTTTCCCCAGACGGAATCCTGATATGCAGTAAATTATGTTTGCGTAATAATAATAAGTCCTCCATTAAAATACACGAAGTTGTAGTTAATTTCAATGTAATTGGTTAAATTGGTGTAAATCAAAAGTGAATTATTTTCATACAGTGTGTGTGAACGTATTATTGACTTACGTGTGGGCCTACTTGAAGTATTGTCATAGAGAAATTACTTGGTTTCAACCATTCCTGATAATGAGGGAACTATCGTGTTCGGCAGTGGTACCAAATGAAATTGAATCTGCCAGTTCAAATAACTAGATTTACCTACCCACCATTTCCACATTACCACCCTTCAAATACCCAAAAATGTTTTCAAGCTTCTATAAAAAAAATACATAACTTTAACTTAATTTAATTTAAACAGAAGAATTGCCCATTATCTAATGTATAAAAATTAATTTGATTTTGTTAATAATAATTTTTTATTTTTTAGTAATATTCCAATTTTTTAGGCAGTTTAATTGAACTGCTTGGAGTACGTGCTCAGCGCTACTGATGTTCGGGGTCGTGTTTATCGGGTACGTTGGCACATGGCTACAATGTTGTTTCCTACAGGTCGGATATATTTGATTTAGGAGTAAGGTGTGATCTAGTTCGATGAATATATATTTATTTTTCTACAGTAAAACGTCCATTTACTTTTCACGCACTGAAAACAGGTGAAACAATAACGTCACACTATGCGAATCGTGAGAAACAATGCATTGATTTTTTTTAGATTATATGACGTCAATATTATGGACGACAATTCCATGTAGTCGTAGTGTTAAGATATTATTAATTTTAGTAATGTATTAAGTACGATACTTACTTGTACTTGCCAAAATTAGTGTTTCCCACAGTTCCTCCTATTATGGCTGAGACGTAACAAAGCATCATAAACACGTGGTAAATATCAATTGCTTGTCTTTCGTCGTACAGTAAAACGTCTCGCATGTAAAACGACAATATTGCTGTGGTAAAATGCATATTTTAAAATTATGTTTGAATAGTGAGGAAGCTATTGGTTTTGTATGTTTTTTTACATTCCGAACGAAATGAGGAATGTACATTGTCTTCACATTATTATTGTATTTTTTGTCGGCTGGTTAAGATAATATGAAAATGTTTTCATGCGACAATTTTTCTCATACATTAATGGAAACAAAAAATATTAATAATGTTATTTTTCAAATTTTTTCCAAATAAGTGGAATAACTGAAAAATGTAAAATGTCTACAGAAATATTTGGGTTTTTTTTTATATGATTTCTTAAGATACTTTTTTTTTTTATTTTATTTTTTTTTTTTTTAGTATAATTTTGCATGAAATATATTTACATTTTAAATATGAGTTGTGGACAGAAGCAGTTTTTTTTATAAGTGAGCTATCCAAATTCGATAATAATTTTATTTACTAATAGCTAATTCTGCAAATATCCCTCAGGATAGTTTTTCAAAATAATGTTTATTAATGTACTCAAATATAAGCTCATAATGCAAAAAAAAAACCCTTTCATTCAAGTGACTTTTCCAAGCTTTTATGTATGTCCTCACTTTTTTTATAACTTCCACCCAAGCTTATCAGATTAGTTAAGTAATAAAAGGCAAAGAGATTTCTGTCTCCATCTCATGTCTAAACTTGAATTTATTCTACAGTAGTCCTGTTAGAAAAGCGATGTTCAATTTCTAAAAGCTTCGTTCTTTCTTGACAAATTTTAAATATTTATTTTAGATTTTTTTTAAAATATTTTCCTCTAATCAATAAATTATTAATCAATTAATCTATTACTTAGATAAGTAGATACATTCATTTATAGTTATTATTTTTGTATTAAAATTGTATCATAAACGATATTTTTTGGAGGTTAAATGGGAATTTAGGAGTTAGCAAAATTTTTTTTTACTTTGACAAAATTAACAATTTTAAAATCCTAAAATCCCTATTATAAAATTTCTGCTTTTAAAAATTTTAAAAACTGATGATGACTTTTATTATAAACATTTAAATTAGGAGTTATGTTATATTGACAGTGTTGAGGTGAATAAAGCCAAATATTAATATCGCGTATTCATCATCTTATTCGTTCTTTTATGAATATTTATATTTGTATTTAGTTTAATTAGTATAATTGTTTGACTTACATCGAAGACTTGAAAAAGAAAACCTTTCGCAGAACTCCATTATAATGATAAAATACAATCGTATTGGATACATGACGATAATTTATATTGATTATTACAACTTACTCTCACATCAATATCAATAAAAATAAAAAATGCAAAGTTATGTTATTACATAGTTATAGCGAAAAATTTAAATGTATAGTAAACAAATAAAATGTAAAAAATCGCCTGACAACTGAATTGATAACATTTTTCTATCTCTAGGGATTTCAATTGTATTATTAATGGATATATAATTGTAAATCCTTATTGATCGATTTCTCATATATAAATAATGTTTAGTTAGAATAGTTTTAAACTATATTTTCTTTAATATTGTACATTTATGATCATAAAATATATCACTTAATGAACGAATTGAACAATAGTTATATTATGAATCGAAATATGATTTGAAAAAAAAGAAAATAATATTTAGGAGTAGTTGTTGTAATCTGTAACATTCAACGGGAATCAGTTATGATAAGCACACATTTAAACGGTCACTAGAAATTTTGTTGTGTTTTAGAACTATTCGCATGACTAAAGTTAGCCTTGTAGGTACAATTGTATGACATGATAAATTATTTTAAAACATCAAAATGTATCAGGAAGTGTATAATAACATAATATGTGAAAATTGTACATCTACCAAAAAGTGTTATTCGTTTTGAGTTGTACTTTCGTGATAAATATCTCTGAAATATTTAATCAGATATTTATAATGATTAGTCCTTGAAAAAAAAAAATAATAAAAAAATAAGCTCTTTATGACATATCAATTTACAATAGCGATTTTGTTTTACAGTTTCGAATAAGTTACATACTAACTTGGTTTTGTATTTGATATAAAAAAGATCTAAGTATAACAATAAAATAATGTCTGCGGAGATGTTCAATACTTTAGAAAATATTATGGGAGATAAATCAATAATAGTGCGAGATGCTTACAAACGGTATGCTGACATAATAAGTATGAGAGGCTTGAATATGTCCGTACCTGTAGGATCAATGTACGTATTTAAACGTAATATAATAATATAAATGTAAAATGTTAGGATATGAACGGTTTTATTTAGCTTTTTTTATCGATTCCTTTGTTTCCACACTAAAGGTTTAAGTGTTTTTTAATCGATTATTTATTTTATTCACCAATATTTTATGCATACATTTTATGTATACATTTGTGTGTGTGCGTGTACGAGCGTTTATGTAAATTTACACTTCAGATACGGACTTCTTGGACCAAGTGGTTGTGGTAAAACAACTTTGCTGAACTGCATACTCGGTCAAATTTCGTTAGACTCTGGTAAAATATACTTGAATGCGCAACGTCATGAGGAAATTAGTTACATGCCACAAGTATTATTACGATTTAATTACCGTAATAGTATTCATAATAAATACTGAAATTAAGTATTTTTTTCTTCCAGGACATTACATTGCACCATAATTTAACTGCATATCAAACTTTTCTATTTTATGGATTACTGTACGGAATAAAAAAAGAAAATGTGAAAAAAAAGAATCAACGAGTTATATAGTCTGTTGAGATTACCATCGTTAAATTTACAAATTAGAAATTTAAGGTAAACCATGTTATAAGTAGAAATAAGGCGAAAATATTCGAATAACAACATAAATCTTATATTATGAGTATATTGTCTAAATAGTTGTTTAAATCGATTTTAGTATTCTGTTGATTTTTTTTTATTATGTAATGCATTATTAGAGGTTTGAATGTTTTTGATGAGCCGAAAAGGTCAAGAATGATAGAAAAATTACGTTAGTGATATTGATGGTTACTATTTTACTTAAGATAAAAAATATGTAACTATCACTAACAGTAACTTTGGAATCTGGTAATGATTACTATTCGAAAAACTCTTATTTTACAATTTTTAATATTTTCGTTGGAAATAGTCTTTGTTACATGATATATTCGGAATTTAAATATTATTTAGTTTTTATAATAGCTACAACATATTCGTCATTTGTTTGCTATTATTTATTATTGTTTAACTTATGTGAACAAGTGATATTGCTATAAATATTTATATCACCATTGGTAATACATGTAATACTTTTAGTATTGATGGGTATCTATTGAAACATTTTATTTATTTTAGGCTTTTGTCAGATAATTAAAACCGTCCGTGGAAAAATGTATCTATTTATATATTTAAATGTAATCATATAGTGGGTCTTAACTTTTAAGCATACAAAGCGAACTTGTTGAAAGATTTTTGAATAGTCGTGCGTAAGGGGAAAACGAATGTCTTATAATACATTATTAAACGAAAAGTACATCGAGACATGGCATTACATTAAACCTTATAGTTGATATATATACATAAATAATGATGAACTGTTTACTCGTTATTGTTTTTAGTGGCGGGGAACAAAGAAGATTATCGTTTGGGGTAGCATTATTTCACGATCCTAAAATTATGATACTCGATGAGCCCACTGTCGGTATCGACCCAGTTATAAGGCAAAGGTAATCGCATGTCAGTCATCTATCACTGGTTGTTGTACAGTTTCTGTTTCTTTGTTTACCGGCATTAGCATTTGGGATCATCTAGTTAAACTCTCTCTGGAAGGAAAAACCATCATCATAACTACTCATTACGTCGAGGAGGCCATCAGAGCAAATGTGGTAATGTATTTACCCTTGATTCGGTGTTAAAATGTCTGTTCAAATATAATACATAACTTTTATTCCTATTGTTTTTGCCATTTTTCTCTGCCACCTTCAGATAGTAACATCACGTTATCATCATTATTCATCACTATTACATTACGTGTACTTATTACGTTATATTTTACCACGTTAAATAATCAGAAATTGTTAGATCATCGGTATTAGTTTTACATGTGTGTCCTCGAATCTGAATGAGCAATAATGTTGGATAATTATAAATATGTATAGTTATTATTATATTATTATTTTTTTAAAGTTGTTAAAAATGATTAATTTCAAGTATAGTGTTTATCTTACCTATGTTTTAGAGTTAAAAAAAATAATCTAAAATTTCCAAGACTGATAAATATAATAATATATAAATTATAACATTAATATCAACCAACTTAAAGAAACAGGGCTGCGAATTTTAGCAGTGAAAATATTCAAACTCCATTACCATTATTTTTTATCTTAATTTAGTATTAAACTTAATAATAAATAATATTAAAAAAAGAAAAATTTCAATATTTTTGATTCATCAATGTGAATTTATTATTTTTATTTTATAATTATATCTACATAATTTCTTCTTCAGTAAAATATTAAAATATACGCTGATTACTATTTTAAAATTTAAAAGTAATTAGTGGTTAGCAAAAATTATACGTGTATAGTAACGTTTCCTTTACTTAAATAGTGTTTTTGGCAACATTATTTCTGAATATATGGATTATAATTTTATCTCGACACTATATTTTCATGTTTTTTTTCAGTCAAAATAATGATTAAAATTAGATACATAATTTCAGCTAATGATTTCAAATGATTAATAATAATTTGTTATTATAGGTGGGATTTATGCGCAATGGAGTTTTAGTTGGCGAAGATTCGCCTAGTACGCTGATTTTCAAACAAAATTCATCTACATTAGAAGAAACTTTTTTATCCCTCTGTTGTGTACAAGAAAGCGGGAAAGTGCGTATTATACCATTTTTAAATCAGAATCTCAAAAAAATCATTTTTAATTTAAATGTATTTAATATTAAATTAACTAAATTAATATGAGATAAAATGTTATTTTTTTGTAGTAGGCATAGCTTTAAGTTATAAATAGCAATTTTTTTTTATACCAAGTTTGTCCATCTATAATTTCATTATTTCAATTATTTTATAGCTTTCCAGTGTACCTAAACAGAAATATTTAACAAAATTGCCGAATTCTACGAATCATTTAAAAAATAGATTTTCCTGGAGAAGGATTCGAGCTTTAACCTATAAAAATACAGCATTGCTATATAAAGATCATACGTAATTTTTGCTATTTCTTTCAATGAATATTTTTTCAAAATTGATTTGTATTTAGATTTTTATTCTTCACATTTGTCTTACCTTTGGTTCAAACTATTGTGTACAACTTATGTGTCGGTCATAACATTCAAAATGCTAAGTTAGGAATTGTCAACGATGAGACAAAAAATTGTAGCACTGATCTTTACCGTCAAAAATGTTTCTTAAACGACCACGACAACACAAAGCTTAGTTGTATGTTCATCGAACATCTACGAGAGTTTAATGATTACTTGGTAATTTAAATTAAAACATTAATAATTACCTAATAGAAAAAAAAATCAAAATTAATCTATTTCCAGATAGATTATCCGTGTTTGAAGTCCGGCAACGATGCATTGAATGCCAGTGCTGTATGGGGATTGATTTATTTTACTTCAAATTATACATTGATGTTGAAAAATCGTATCAATCTATTTGTCAACCACTATGATATAGATTTTAGTTCAGTGCAAGTAACATTAGATCCAACAAGTAAATTATTTTGATTCATAACAAGTATATTTAACAAGTTGATTTTAATTACATAAATCAATTGTGATATTTTTTAGATTATATCATGAAATTAAAAATAAAAGATGATGTGACATCGACTTTTGTTAAAACATTCAAGGAAGCTACAAGTTATTGTAATATAAGTGACAAATCGTATTTATATCCTATTACCGTAATAAAAATATAATATTATTTTGGTTTTAGTTTAACTAAATTGTTATTGGTATTTGAATTGTAGGTTCAGAGTATAGGAAATGTCAAAGTCACTGAGTTTATTCATTCAGCTTCTCCGGGATTTATAGTTTTGTAAGTATTAATCGTTCTATACTAAACTTTATTTCGAAATATACAAAATCGCAAAGTGAAAATGCATTATAAAAGGAATAAATAAGGTTAATTTTTAAGAAGACATTGATGAGTAGTAGAACATTATTATTTGAAATTAATAAAAATAATTAGTTTATTGAATATAATATCATTAGTATGACGGGTCACAGACGATAATGCACGTATGCATCGATTGATGGTCATTCGTTTTTAATTTTAAAATTAAAGATTTTTCATAATATTTTAAACAAATATATATATATATATAAATTAGCTTTACGTTATTATGCATGTTTCGCTTTTGTGTTATTTTATTGATACCTACAACAAAGTCCGTTGCGAAGAATTAGTTTATATAGAAGAAAAGAAAATGTAATTATAATTCTATCATCTGCCTACTTATCTACTGTGAACACGCTTGGGAAAATGTTAATGTAAATTAAAATTTTAGTTAAAATATCTACGTCGTTTACGTTCAATTAATACGCTCATATTTCATTATTAATGTGAGTAAATCTTAAAAATATGATAGTGCAATGAGAATAATTATTTAAATTTTAATTAATATACCTAGAGTTAACGGGCTTTCCGATTCGTCGTAAGCTGATTATATTTATATTTCCACTTCGAATGGTTCGAAATAAATCGTTAAATCTTTGTTCCCTAATGTAATTGTATAGCGGTTAATTTAAAATATATAGTGTGTATTTAAATGTATTTTATTCATTTAATGTAATTCAAATTAATTATCTTAATTCTAAAAATTAACCGATAAATGTTTGTTATCGTATACTTACCAATTTCTTGGTTAGTAAATATATTACTTTAAAATACACGCGTATAACAAATAAACAAATATTATCTAGATTCACTCATTTTGACTTAGATATATCTTATCTCTGGGGGAATGATAAACATTTGTCCAAAACGTCATGCCACGTGGTGTTACAAGGTCGTAAAGTGAAAATTATAAACTAGTAAAATGCATTGTTTACTTACAAACGGTTTGGTTGATATAGTAAATTTACAGTAATATCATAGTTAAAATGTCAAAATCATAAAATATTCGTTGTTTTGGAAACAATGCATTTCACTCATGTGTTGTGTGTAAAACGTGTCGTAGTATCCGTTGATACTTGGCAACCAGTGTGATATCCTGGCTGAAGTATCGAATTTTGTAATTAATATTCAAACATTTATTTTAACTTTCTATTTGTTTTAATTTTCTATTATATTATTAATTTAAATATTTATTAACGAATCCCATATATTTTATTGATAAAAGTTAAATTATACATTTATAATTTGATCTTAAATAATTGGAATTATTATTTTTAAATCGAAATAATTTTACATCGCATAATTGTTTTAAAAATGTTTAAATGCACTAAATCATACAATATTTTATTAGACAGGAGTAATTAAAACGAAAACATTATCAAACGCCATAAAGTCCCGGAGGATGATTTTATCTAATAAAAATATTATTAGTACATTTATATTGTTAAAGTGATTATTATTTAAAAATTAGTTTAATTTGCCTTTAACCCATTTATATTTTTTAGACTAGCTTTTTATTTCCCAATGATTCTATCGACCGGATTATTGTTGTCTGAGAAGGACGAGGGAATAATGAGCCGTATTATGGTTGCAGGTATAATAAAATCTCATTTAGTACGAATATAATTATTTTAAATGTTGAAATTTGTTAAAGGAGTAAAGTTCTCGGAATTTGTTGTTTCTGTAATATTTCTTCAAACAACTGTTCATATTATACAGTCATCGATCGAAATATGTATAATGTATTTTTTATTTAATAATCCAATTTCAACTGATAATTTTTGGACATTTGCATTGAGTATAATGGTAATTGGATACCAAGGAATGTTTGCTGGTAAATAAAAGTCTTCATATTTAATTTTTAATCATTAAGAAAATTAATGTCAATAGTAAAAAATGAGGACTATTTTATATTTTATATTTACTATGGGAGTTTAATTGTTAACCAAACGAAAATTCCAATTGAAATTAACTTTAAAATAACCTATATACAGAGTGAGTATTCCTGTTCTCTGTTAAACTGTATGGAAAAAATATCAAAAGTGTAAAATATCGTCCTGTTTTAACCCACTAAAGGTGATTACCTATTTGGCGTTTACTTAGAATAGTTTTGCAAATTAAATTATTTTTCGTTTATATTTGCAACATTTTTAATTTTTAAATTTCATAAATTGTTATAAAATAATATACTAACAATTTAAAAAATGTATTTTTATTTAACTGACAAAAATACCATGTAAACATATTTTTAATTTTTTTTTGTGTTATACAGGCCATTAAGGCCTTTTGCACGCTTCAACCAAACTTCCATACATTACGGTCCATTGCATCCTTCGATTGCTTTGTCTCGTCGGTATCTGAAATATCTTTCTTAACTCTGTTTAACCACCACTGACGAGGTCTTCCCCTTGGTCGTTTTTTTGTTGGGTTTCGGATTAGGACATTTCGTATGACACTTTCACCAACCAGGCATGACCAGCCCACTCTAATCATTTCGCTTTTAAGAACAATCCGATATTTGGTTTGTTATATAACCTTTTTAGTTCATCGTTTTTTCGTCTCTCATACTCTCCATTTTAATTTCGGACAGGTCCGTAAATTTTTCGTAAAACTTTTCTTTCGAAGGTGAGTAACTTTTCTTCATTCCCTTATGTTGTGGACCATGCCTTGCATGCGTACATTACTATCGGTCTGAGGAAGGAGGTGTACAGTTTCTCTTTTGTAGCTTTCGACAATAATCTGGAGCTAAACATCCTATTCATAGCAAAATACACTTTGTTTGCATTACTTATTCTTAACTGAATTTCCTTATGCATATTATTTTTTGTATTGATATTGACTCCCAAGTATTTAAACTCATCTACTTGCTCAAAGGTGTAGGGACCTACTTTAATAGCTGCTGTATTTGCCATATGTCTAGTAGAGATGGTTTGAACATTTACATCTTACCGGGGCAGTATAATTTAAACCACCTCTCCCCTTACCTTGAAAAAATTGTTCTGGTTTCCCTCGATCACATTAAAACTACCTAAATGCTAAAACGTAAATTATGTATCTCTAAATATGATTATAAACATATTGGTATGCCTACTAAATTTCAATTTATTTACTAAAAATGTACATAAAAAATGTTTTTTACCGGGGCACAGCCCCGGTAGTAAACGCTTACAAGCCGCCTCTGATGTCTAGTCATTACTAGGTATTTAGTTTTATTCTCATTGATAACGAGGCTCATTCATGTAAACATATATTTTACATAAATAATAATTTTAATTTCCACCACTTGAAATTATAAAACGATTTAAACTTTTAAAAGTCAATGAAGTCCAATGAGATTTGATTTCACATTATTTCATTGGTCTGATTTATTTAGGAATATTAGTTGCGGCTGTATCAAAAACGTATTCAATGGCTACACATATTAACATGGGAACAAATGTTTTATTTTCATGCTTGTGTGGTAAGTTCTAATCTAATTTATTAAATTGGACACGATAAGAAGAAGAATATGTTATGTAATAACAAGCAGTTATGTTTAACCGTTTTGATGATGCAAATTTTTAGTCAGTTTGGTTGTTTGGTACCTACAGCAACTGCTTTAGTTTTGAACACGATTCTGAGCGCTTTGAGCTTATTTTAGATTTTTCAGATATTGAAGTATTATAAAAGTAGTACTTGAACGTTTTGTATAATTTTCTAGGTCTCATTTGGCCTATGGAAAGCGCACATCCGATTCTGAGGGCTTTTAATCGTTTTCTACCTTTATCCATTGCGTCAGAAACAATTGGAAATTTGACTCTTAAAGGATGGCCACTTCAACATCCTATAGTTTTACGTGGATTTATCTTAACAGTATTATGGTTAATTGTATTCGCAATGCCCGTGTTTTTTTTTAGTTTGTTCAAAAAAGGCACTTGGTTGAAACCAAAATAAAAATGATTGTTATTTGTTGGCGATATTAAATTTTATAAATATTATAATTCATTAGTTAATACATATCTGTATCCAAATTGTATCCTTAATCTAACAATTAATAAAAATATAAATCATTTCCATAAAAAAATTGATTATTTGTGATATACATAATGGTTTAGCTTCAAGTTTAAATAATAAATATACTAAATGAACACAAAAAATGTAATTCATAATTTACTGGTTATTCTAATAAAGAGGAATTTATAAAAAAAAAAAAATTAAAAGAAAATTGCATTAAAACAATTTTTATTCCTGTTAATAATAATAAATCAAATTGTCTTATGCAATTTCTATCATTGAGAACCATTGTCTAAAGACAAGGTTAACTGTTCATTTTATTTGTTGTTATATGATTTTTTGCAAAGTCATAATTTATTCAAATTATATAAACATTTAGTAATTGGTCATAAATATCGTATTCTACGCGTATGGCAATCGATTAGAAAATACTATGTCATATAAATGATTGTTAGGCAAAGATAATTTTCTGTCAAAAGTAATACGACTTTTGACTGTTGAAGATGGCGGCTGTGAAAACCGAAGAGGTCTGGACAGGATTGAAATCAGCTGTATGTATTTTAAAAGCATTCAAAACGTTTTCTGTTGACACTCGTGTTATTAATGGCTTAAGCATGAATGTACCTTTAGGATCCATGTGAGTATTATTACGCTAATTAAAATTATTTTAGAAATTAACATTGCACGTAAATAGTTTTATACATATTACAAAACAAAATGTATTCAATATTATGCAACAATGTTTACAATGATCTATAGAACGAAATGTATTTCAGATATGGTCTGTTGGGACCGAGCGGATGTGGCAAAACTACATTGATAAACACTATTCTTGGAAAGTTATCATTGGATTCGGGATCTATTAAAATGAACACAAATCACGCCTCTGATATCGGATACATGCCACAAGTAAGAATTGTTGTGTATACTGTACCGTACAGTACATAGGCTTTGCGTGTACTAATCTAATTTCAATTATTAATCGCACTCCCGTAGGATTTGTGCTTAGATACAATGCTTACCATATACGAGACATTCGAATACTACGGTTCGCTGTACAAGATGAATGAAAGCGAAATTACTAGCAAAAGCAATGAACTTATTGCTTGGCTCAGATTACCGTCGGGTAACACATTACTAAAAGATTTAAGGTTAATATGATGTATACATATGTTATGAAATTAGAAAGCTAAAATAATTTTCCAGCCGATTAAATATTGCATATATATAACACGATTATTTGTTGATGTTCATACAGTGGAGGTCAGTGTAGACGGGTTTCGTTGGCCGTCGCGTTAATTCACGATCCAAAAATTATTATTCTAGACGAGCCCACAGTAGGAATCGACCCTGTTTTGAGATACGAGTAAGCTATTTTTACTGCAAAATTAATGGAATTATGTTTTTGTTTTGATAACCGTGATTTGTTGAAATTAGAATTTGGCAAAAGTTGTTAAAAATCGTAAAGGAACAATGCAAAACTATTATAATTACCACGCATTATATAGAAGAAGCACATCAGGCGCATACCGTAAGGAAAACGTAAATGTTAAATATTTTACCGAAAAACAATGAAAAATTGTCTTATATAGTTAAATATAATGCACATAAAACTAAAAATCTTTGTAATTTTTAATAACACGAAAATATCAATTGTATTCTTAATAACAATAATTTTATATTGTTACACATGGTTATCCAAAACAACGGAAACGTTATGGCGGAAATAATAAATAATAATTAGTTAGGTACTGAAAATGCATAAGTATTGATTATGAGATAGATGACCATGAGTATAGCAAATACAATTATTCATGATTAAAGGTTTGCGTGTGGTTTTGTAGTTATAACTGATTAGTTTGGTACGCATTTAATTAATCAGACGTCGTTTTAAAATGAATGATAACGAAGACCGAGGGAATGATAGATTACGAATATGAGTACCTATTTTATTTACTGAAACTATAATCTTAAATTGTATAGGATTTTTTTGTAGTTTAAAAACCTTTTAACATTTGTTCTTGAATGTATTCATTAGTAACGCATTTTAAATGTATAAAAATTGATTGGTGGAGTATCTCAATAAAATTTAATTGTTTCAATACAGTTATATAAACGTTGTTACGGTTTATGTTCCTTGAAACATTTTTATAAACAATTGCGAGGTCTTCATCGATTTCAAAGTGAAAAAAATGTATTTTAGGAATTAAAAACTTTGGGTTTATCTTAAGATTTATTGAACTCAAACGGAAAAATACTGATAAACGAGAATATAATTGTGCTGAGAATAATAGGTAATGGAAAGAGGTATAAGTTTTTTTTTATGTTCATAACAAATAAAATATATTGAAATAATTTGCTATTTATGTTAGTCGTGAAAAACTCATGTTTCAATACATAAATGTATATTAAAGGATTCTATTTTTACTAACTACTATTGGATATCTTTGCGTAGTTATCAGTCATAACATTCTTTGTTGTGGTTTTCCAAAAGAATAGTTGATTATTCCATCAACGGGTACGACACCTATCAGTAGTTGTTACAGCGACATATATATATATGGATATACTTTTATGGATTTATAATTGTTATTAGTATATTATGTTGTTTCATTGCCATATTAAACTGATTATATTTTCCATTGTACACTACACATTTGCACTATATTTCATTAAACAATATTGCATTACACAAATGATACTACATTTAATAGATTAATTTTAATTTTAATGTAATTTACGATGCATTTATAACGTTTAATCATGTTTTTCGTCTTGTAATACATTGCGATGCAGACGTATACATTTTAGTTTTAATGTAAAAGAGGATATACAAAGATATGGCTTCGAAAAAAACCAACAAGAATAGTAAAATATAAGGCGAACCCAATTATTTATACTTGCCAATTAATTATATTTTGCCATTTTAACTTGTAGATAGGCTTGATGAGAAATGGAGTTTTAATAGAAGAAGCGTCACCCGAAGAATTATTGATCAAACAAAATACAAACTCTTTAGAAGAAGCATTTTTATCATTAAGTTCAATTCAGCAGTTTAATAAAGTGAATATCGTATACTATCATTTTTTTTCATTTTTTTTTTCACTAACTAAATTATTGTTTTAATTTAGTTACAAAAAGTGACCAAAACAATTCGAAATAGTGAAGTTTCATCACATGTGTTGTACTCGGACAATGCATTATCTTTTATTAGAATTCGTGCTTTCATCAAGAAAAATGTAGCCATTTGCACTCGTGATTTCACGTAATTTTAATATTATAGTAAACGGTTGTACTACACTAACCGTCAAAATTAAATCAAATTTTTTCGAAATAGGTTTATATTTTTCATGATCTTATTCCCAATGTTGGCAGCTATCATTTTTAATTTAGCTATAGGAGGTAATATTAAAAACGTTGACATAGCTATTCAAAATAAAGAAATTACCGACTGTCGAAACGTCGTAAACAATAACTGCATTTATGATGATAATAAAAATTTTACTTTAAGCTGTGAAGTCTTGGATGGTCTACGAGCTCTAAAATATAATTTGGTAAAATGTTCATTGTCCAATAGTTTTAATACATGGTACTAAAAAGTTGTACTATTTAGATCGAGGTCGATAGCCAGGAAGCAGGCGATAATCTAGTGAAACTAGCTAGTTCGATAGCATTTATTCAGTTCCCTCAAGATTTCAGTAAAGAACTACAACAACGTGTTCTAGGTTCGTGGGATTTAAGCGGTGAAACTTCAACAAAATCATTAGCCTATGCAAATATCGACAATGGAAGTGAGTACATTCCGTTAAAATATCTATAGCGAATACGAATCCAGTTATTTATTATAATGGTTGATCATTTTACTATCACAGATGTATTGTTGGTGAGTTTTTTTTTACTACAAGTCTAATAATGTATCTTACAATAATTTCCAGGAAGTTGGGTTGTAAAATAAGTCCTGAAAATAAAAATGTAGAGTTTGCTTTGGGCGCTTGTATTAAATTGTATTCAATGTATTACGGTCGAGATAAATATTGTTGTGTTTTTAAATTGTCCGTAGATTTTTTTGATACCGAATATCAAATAGTCTCACTTATAAACCTAACGTTTAATTAATTTTCTAGTTAAATTTCCTAAATCTTAATGTGATTGGTTTAAAATTTTTACTGATTTTTTTCTTCTAGATTTTTTGATTAAAAGTCAAATCTTTCGGAATTTATTTGATGTAATGGAAAAAGTAATTGTTAATACTACCCGCAATTGTAATGGAAAGTTCGTTGGGAAATCGTTTGTAAGTATATAGGTTAAATACCGACAAATATTAAGCATTAAAATTATTTAATATAATTTTTCATTATATTATACGTTTTATAGTTATTATCTTTATTATTATTGTCCGTTGTTGGATTTATTTAATATAAATAATGACCCTTATCTCATAAACAAATTTCGATTACTTTTTGAAAAATAACCTAAATAATGAATAATAAATTAAATAAAATTATAGACTTTAACGAAATAAACGTTTAATTGAAAATAAATTTTAAAAAAAAGTTAAAAAATTTATTTTGTTGAAATATTATTATTATTTTAAATAAAGTGGGATCTAAAATACATAATTTATTGTTTTTTATAGAATGTTTATTCTTCAATTTTGTGTAATTAATTATCTAAGTACAAAATTTACTCTGCTATCAGTATGAGCTATATTATATGCGACTCTAAAGCGAGTTCCTCACCAAAACTTTGGCGATTTACCACTATTTAACATGTTTGCTTGTTATAAGTCATTATTTTACTTTTTTTTTTTTATTTATTTATAAAGTTTTCCTGACAAATATCATTATTTTATTGCTACATTTAAAAGTTTATGACTATTGATATAATTATGCATCAATTTGATCAGTATTTGTAACTCGTGCATATATTATATTATTATTATATATTTTAAATAATAATATAAAAAAATATAAAATACAAATTATTAAATGGTTAATACTCATAAATTAATATATAAATAAATAAACAAATAGTTTTTATATAGAAATATATAAATAATTAAATGCTCAGCTTAGAGTATTATTATATAATAATACTCCGGGCTAAGCATTTATTTATTTATTTAAATATTACAATTTTTAATTAAATTTTAGGGGAACTAATAGATTCGTGTAAATAAGGGGTTGTGATGGAATAAAAAGTGTTTTTTTTTTTTTTATATAGCTATAGGTTGTTTATATAGCAATGAATAGATTATATGAGCAATGGTTTTTACTATTTAATTAACCGAAAAAGGTTATTATTTGATACATTAAAACATGATTATTTTAAAAATATTTCTCCATAAAAACTTAACGGGATTGTATCAATAAAAAGTGTTTTGAAAACAAACAATTTTATCGTTTCTTATAAGAAATTTTAAAAATGTATTTAATATACGAAATTAATATGTATCAATACATAGCTTATTATTATTATTATTATATTAATGTGACTTAAAATAATCAATATTTAACAATCATCAGATTCTAAAAATTTATATTGTTAAAAATAATCATATAGCATTTTTATATTTAATTACAGAAAATTGATTACTTAGTGGGAGACAAAGTCAAACAATTCATTAATAGTATAGCCACTATGTTTGTTTCGATGTAAGTATAATAATATTTTAATGGAGTGAAAATTTCGATTTTTTTTCAGTAATTATTTTGTACTTATGTGTCATAATTATTTAATCTTAGACGTACGTAATATAATTAACTATATTATAGGTAAGTAACGTATTATCATAAATAATAAAGTAATGAAATAAACAACAATTTAATTAATTGTTAATACTCGTAAATGAATAAATAAATAAATAAATGCTTAGAGTATTATTATATTTGTAATGTACGATCGGGTTCGAATTAAAAATGCATCATCAAGTATATATATATATATATTGGGCAAAGTAGGAAATCTGGGTATTGTGATACAATTCCCGGGCTCTGTACATTATGTCCGAATATTTTGGACATTTTAAGAATTACCGTCGGAATTATAATACATTAACCGAACATTAAATAATCTGGTCGACTTTGTAATTCAAAGTGCCATAATAGTGGTGTATGTAATAATAAATAAAAAATATTTTAATTCTATTTATCTAATATGACTTTTTAGCAATGATTAATTTTAAAATAGCAATATTAAATAATTTTTGTAAATTATTAAGTATTAATTTTATTTATTTTATTCATCTCAAACTATCTTTAGATAATAATATTTATTCTTCAATAGAATACCTATTATATATATTAATGGTACCTAATTAGATAAATTATTTAAATACTATTATTCAAGGTATCTTTTTCAAGTTATTTTTATTATAAGTCTAATAAAATACCTAATATGATTTTATTTAATTTTTATATTTTCAATATTTAAACTGCACTACCCAAATCTAAGTAGGTTAGTAGTATTGTATACAATGTCTGGACAATTTTTGGGCAAAAATTATTCATACTTTGCATTCAAATGCGTTGTGCATAGTGACCGGACACTTGTGTACTTATTCGATTTACTATTTTGTCCTTAACATGCATAAAGTCAATAAAATCGCGATTTATAATATTATAATGTATTGTTTTTATATATTGCTTCCGTAAGTGTAAACAATATTTAAAAAGTCTATGACTACGATATTATTTGGATAATCTTATTAATTTAATATTTTGGGGTGCAGTTTTCCTTAAATGTAACCATACAAATAAGCTCTCCGGACAATCGAAAGGTTTAATTTTCCATTTTATCTTTTTAACAATGGATTTTTAATAGATAATTTGGGTTTTTGTGTGCATTACATTCACTTTTTTTTCTGAGAAGAAATAAATAATTAAAAGTGCGTGTGAAAGTAACGTGTGAAAAGTTATAGAACATGCGAATTATATATTTTCTGTGTTTCATCCAATTATACAACAACAGAGGATTACTTTTTTTAGCAATCTAATATATTGCCATTTTTTTATAAGTTCTAACAATAAATTTAAAGTCTGAAAGTGAATTTCATTTCGGGTCCAATTTCACATATAAATAAATTTCAAAACTTTTATTGCATTACTATATTAATTGATCCATTGTAATTAAAGCAAAAATTAAAATTAAAAATAATAATACTAAAAAAACAACGCTTTATATTTTCTTAATCTCATTTTATTATTAAAATTTTTTCGACGAGGTATCTTTATAATTAATATATCGTACTAGAGATCTCTCTGTGATTATTATGTTAGAAACATTACTAAATTTGCATAATTATATTTTTGATACGTGTCTATAACACGTATATATACAATATATACTAGGTATTCATTAAGCAATAAGTATAATTACAAAATTAAGGCACTCATTATTTTTATTGATTGTACTCAAGGTTGGCGCTACAAAATATTCGCACCTTGGGCGAAACCATGTCTTTGCGCCCTAACTTTCCTAATGACCAATTACAATTGTTTTTTAGATTTATAAAAAACTTAATTCTAAAATGGGTCCTGTACTGGCTTTCAATCACGACAATATATAATCCAACATTAGTAAAACAACGCAAATACGTAGTTTTTACGTTTCGCTTTATTTAACGGCCATAATATGTCGAGATGTCGATGAAATCAATAATAAATAAACTTTAACGAAACGTTTAAATCCAAATCGTGGAAACGTAGTAGATGTAGAGTAAAACCAATTAATACTAGTAAACATACGTCATGCACTGTACACAACTGTCTAGTGTTAACTCGTAAACAACCAAATAAGGTATTATATTACAGACATTTTCGGTAATAATAACCGCAACGAATCTTGTCGTTACAGCTATTATTATCTGGTGTTACTATGGGGCTGCAGCTGTACAATTTCTTAGGAGTCGTATATTGGAAATTTTATACGTTACTTATTTAATGGCGTGTATGTGTGTGAAAAGTAAATGAACGCTAGTGTGTGTGAGTCGTGAACTTTAAAATATAAATTATTGTAAAATCTTTACATTAGTAATGATAATTTCTTTCGGAAATTCCTTCGATCAGATTTAGTAAAGTTGTTGAAAATTTTCAATTTATTTTTAAAATTAAAATCCGTCAAATCCATGTTCCACAGTGTCTAGCTTATGGTTTGTTTTGTATGATTATTTTTATCATCTGCAGTCTCCCTCAGTAAAATGATTGTATCTAAATAAATAACGATTACGAACAACGGCTGACAAATGATTTATAAACTAAATTATTGTATACCATAATAAACTACAGAATGGATAGAATTAAATTCCTATATTTATTTCAGTTTTAATATATCATTGAGATGCCCTCACTTCAACAGGCACCTTGGACGTATGCCCAGATCATCCATCCCTAAATCTGGTTTTACATTGTACTTGTACTCATCTATAAATTTGAAAATAAATTCACATAATTTCTTATTAATATTTATTGGTTAAAATTTACCATCACATTTTACAAATAAAATAACCGAAGTAAACATTATACTCATCACTGATCCAATTTTAACCAATATATATTACCTAAATATTATTTTTAGGATAGGATTTTATTTCTCAAGTGTGATATCAACAGGATTCATGTTGACAGAGAAAATGGAAGGTTTCCTCGACCGTTCTATGACAGCTGGTAAATAGTGATATACTTGTTATACCTAGAAAATAATTTTGTTATTAACACAATTTTATATTCATTGGTAGGCATTACCATAAAAGAAGTAGTAATCTCTATAACATGCATTCAAACTGTAATACACTTAATCCAGACAGTATCTGTTATGTTTGTAACGTATTTCATTTTCAAAAATCCAATCGAGATCACTAACGGACTATTCGCATTCATATTTATAATTATTTTGACTGGATGGCTAGGCTTACTTTATGGTAAGTATTTCTTATCCGAATTACGAGTACTATTTAATTTTTTTATAAAAAGGGAATAAAATATTATCATTTATGATTTTTGAAATATAATTTGATTATTTTATAAAAATCCTATTGGAAATTAAAATCTAACTATACATACGTGTATTTTCCAAATATAATTAATCATTGCTATTTTATTTTAGGTTTGTTAGTTGTTGGAATATCGAAATCAAGTAGTGAAGCCATGAATATGATTATTGGTTGGAACATGATGCAAGTTTATTTATCGGGTACATTATTTTTCATAAATAGTTTATACCACGTTAATTAGATTTACTAGGTTTTTTTTTTATGTACTGATTTTATGATATTGTATTTAAGGTATAATGTGGCCCATCGAGGCTCAAGTTCCGTACATGAAAATCGTTTCCGAAAAATTACCATTGTGCTACATCAGTCGATTATTGAATAACATCGCTTTGAGGGGATGGACTCTTGGACATCCAGCTGTTATAGTTGGAGTGGCAGTTATTATTGGTTACGTTTTATTACACGTAATTATACTGTTGTATCTAAACCGAGTAAAGAAAAATGCGTGGTTGATAAGCAAATAATTGAGTAAAAGTTAAAATGTACTCATCCTTTAAGCTGTAAAAATAAATAATGATCCAGTTTGTTTACTTATTTATTTTTATATGTCTTTGTGTTCATGATATAAGAACATTTTACAAAGGAGAAAAGTTCAAAAAAAGTAGCCAGTACAAGTATACAATTGAATTGCACCAGTTAAACTAAAAATAACTGAAACAAACTTAACTTGCAGTAAAATAATTTTATAGGTTTAGAAATAATAATAATAATAATAATAATAATAATAATAATAATAATCCACATAAATGAAATTTTACGATTTATTTTTATATCGATTAGAAAAATATACAAAAATATGGCGCGAATATATACCCCACTTTATCAGTGAAAATTTGGACGGGTAGGGTACTCCAATAGTCATCAAGTGAAATATTGTGATTGAATAATCGATGTATATTTAGATCTAGGTAAATCAATTTTTAACCAATTTTAATCAATTTTCGTTGGAATACTAAACAGGCATTTATTTATAGAGGGGACTTGGAGGTAGGAGTTAGTGGGCGAGTAAGGTCTGCCTTATAAAATTGCTTTTGTATCATAGGATGAATTGATTGTACCACCATTGTAGGAAATATTATTAAATATTCAAGTTATGGAATTAAAAATAAAATTAATTTAGTCGAACAAATGTATACGGTGATCGTGATAAATCAACATGCAAATTGTAAAGGCGATGATATTGTAAAATTTTATCATTCAATCATTATAAATCATATTAATGATTGTGTATAAATCAGGATAGCCAAATTAGGTGAACAGATTTTTGATGAATATCTAAAGATAATATTTGCGAATGAAACCGTAGTTATTTAAAAAAACAGTTTGCAAGAGAAAAAAATACAGCTTAGAAACTATTTTGTTAAACGCTAAAATGATTTGAAATTTTTAATATAATTACTTCCTGGTAAAATACTGATGTTTGTCATAACATCACGATTCGGAATAGACGGAAAAGAAAAAAATGTTTGGATTTGGTGATGTAAATTCTTATTAGAGTTTGGCATAGTATGCGATCGTATTTTATAATATAAATAACATTATACATCCATTAATATGGGGTGTGCAGGAAATCATATTAGAAAGCATACGAAACCATGGGTTATCGTCGATAATCAGGACTTTCATCGGACGATCCGATCATTTTTATTATTCGTGGCATTGCATTGTACCGCTTTATAGCGCGAGTGGCCTACAGTAAGTAAACCCAGCAAACAGGTCGAACTGTAGTAGTACCTTACGAGCAGTGGCAAGGTGAACTCAAATATATTCAGTGGTAAGTATAATATTCGATACATATTTACTTCCACCTACCCATCTACGGGAGGCCTTAGTGTATAATAACTGCATTTAAAAATCAAAACGATGCACCCCTAATACCTAATAAACGGCATACAAGGCCATAGGCAATGATAACACTGTATTGCTCGTTTATACCACGTATTAGTCTCGTTGACTTTTCGTCACCAATCAGTGGCTACTGGACACTAGTTTTTGCTTGTATCAACATTTAAAAAATATATTTTTGATACATAAATAAATATACAAATAGTTTATATATAAAGATAAATAATAAATTCATGGATAAATAATAGCGTGGAGTATTATTATAGTCGTTAAGTATGATCAAGTATATGTATACAAAATCAATTAAAAAATCGCGATTAATTTTTAATTTTTGTAGGATGTGATTTGTAAAGTGTGAAATTTATAAGTGGTTTAAATTTTAAAAATTGCGATTTTATTGACTTTGTATTTACCTGACGATGAATTTTTAATTCAAAACCGGTCGTACTTTATTATAAGTATAATGATGCTCCAGGTTAAGTATTAATTTTTTTTTTCATTTATTTCTACATACATAAGCGAAAATTTGGTAAAATTAGTGGAGGGGGGCTGACCATTATTTGCTTATTATACCTATAAATACCCCTGTACGCAATTATTTATTTCAACAAGGCAATTTACAAAGTTTGACAATTTGACATACTCAGCAATTTAACCAAAAAAAACAATTAGGTGCCTTATCTTAAAATTTTTTGGTGTAGGTATTCTAAACAGAAATTATTAACTAATTAAATTAAACGAATAATGCGGGTATTATTACATATTATTAATATAATATAACATTAATTACGATCGTTCCAAGTCATGACAGTAATTTTGTAAAATCTTCTGAATTTGATTTAATTTTTATCACAGAATATTTTTTTTTATTTCAGTTATTAAAAATGCATTTTACAATTACAATAATTATTGTATTTTTAGTCACTTAACAATTTTTAGGGCTAGAGGGACTAAGACCTGTACTTTACATTTCTAGGGGGCCTAGTCTCCTCAAGACCCCTCCCCCCGATTTCCGCCTAAGTCTACACATAAAAAATTTGTTTATTTTTTTATACATTGATTTAAGAGTATTGACCATTTATTAATTTGTAATTTATATTTCATCACATAGTTGTGTGTGTTATTTATTTACGTTCATAACTACGAGACTAAAATATTACCCCTCATCCATTCAAAAAACTGAGGGCCAGCCACCTATCCATCACCCCTTTCGCCACGTTGCTGTACACGGAGTTGACTTCGGGTTTTCGACTGAACTGTTTCCACCAAGTCTGTACGGTTCCAAGTCACGTATCGCTCGGCGGCGACTTCACGCCGATCACGATCGTGTCAACGGCAATGTTAAGTTAACACGGCGACAGGGTAACCAATAACTTTTTTAACTCACAGGTGCACATTTTTTCTTGCGAGGATCGGCGGCTGCGTTCTGCCGGATTCGATTTTAGGCGATAGGCTGTGCCATCGATACTAGGACGGTGCGACGGCTGTACAATAATTACGCGTGCAAATATTCGTGAAATTGTTGTATTTTTTCGATGAAAAACGTGCGGCGCATATTATCGACAGTCGGAAACGCACACCGGGTGCAGACGCGATGGAACGCGTTTCGATGGTGATCGAAATGTTTGCCCGAACGTTTAACCGGACGCGACGTGCATACGAACTAACGTACAGATAAATAATTATACGTCATGTGCTCTTAGCTCCGTCGATTGCATCACAGTGTCCACACGCCAGGGTGTTTGCAATCAACGGTGACACACGAGCTAATTGTCGGATTCGACAGAGGTTTTAGGTTTAATCGTTCGTTGCTAATGGTCGAAATTGGAAAACAATTAATAATTCGAGCTGCGAACGGTTGAAATCGTTAATTATGCACGTAGGTATTTTTTTTAAATTACATTACACTACCTAATTAGGTGGTATATCGTATTATACATTCGCTTCTATGTTTAATTTTAAAAATTAGTAAATAAATGTAATTTTTGGTGTTTAAAAATTGTTAATTCAAGAAAAGAACACAACGATAATATCCCATTGACGTATACACTTTTAATTACATTTTTTCGGACTTATATATAATTAATACAGTCAAGTAATAGAAGTTCCGGACAATAATAAAATCTGAATTGTTGACTGTTGTAATAGTTATAGGTGCATCGTTTGTATTATCTCATCGATTTGCCTACTTTAATTAAATTACTTAATGAGCGATTTTTTTTTTTTTTTTTTAGTAACTTTTAACCAGATGAATTAAATTTTTCCACTTAGAATTTATGCAGATAATAATGAGTTAATTTATTATATAGAAACGTGGTTACATTTTCGCAATATTTCATTTATAGAGTTTGAAAATAAAAAAAATGTTTATTTTGAACAAATAATTCATTAATTTTAGTAAAAACAAAATTAATATAATAAAATAAAAATAATTAATTGCAGTCTTGAAAGCACTATTCTTGAATTTAATTAGGGATCAAAATAATATACAAGAATATAGATTTATAAAAATGTTGTAACATTATTCAGTTTAGAAAAAAAAATGTAACATCATTTTAACTACTTACTTTTTTTTTAATTTGAGTTGCAACTTTTACAATTTTGTAATAAAATGAAAAGTAACTTTTAACCTTGAGCTTAATTTAAATATCTGAATATTAACCTTACTCATCGAATAGAAAAAAACTAGTTAATTTGTTTAACCTTTTAGATAAATATTATATATAGGTACAGTGTACCAGGTACACGTTTAATGTCACCGCTGCATCTTTAGTAATTTTTTTTTACGAGTAAGATGTTACTATTTTAATCTACGAAAGATTGATCGATAGTCTAATGTATTGTATAGTTTTGTTCTTTAGTACACATCACTATATCATAATATGATAATGTAAATACTATAAATTTGCATAGGGCTATAAAAAAAATAAACGTTTTTAGATAAGAACTTCGATAAAAAAATGTAACGTAAATAAGTAATACTATTAAGAAAAAAAATGCATTTATATTTAAAAATAAAAGAATAAAAAAAAAACTACTAAAGATTACAAAAAAATGCTCTTATAACTAAAGTATATGGTTTTCCAATTCATTGATGTTAAAATTAGACTTCACAACTTGGGAAAACGGTATTCTGAAGTAGTAAAAATAAAATTCAATTTTATTCAGAGTGAAAGAGTGAAAAATCACTGTTAATCTAAACGAAAAATTATAGCTGAAATGTTAATTTGTATACTTGACACTACTATCAGTGGCGGCTTGAGTAACTGAAACTCCAGGAGCAACCTTCATAAAACCACCCACCCACCAATTGTAATTTGTAATGTTTAGCATATCTAGACTCCAGTAGCCCTATGATAGATACATACCCACCGCTCTTTGGACCAGGAGCGGTTGCTCCTGATAGTCTTATAACAAGCCGCCCCTGAATACTATAGTCATGGAAAACGTGATCGCTCAAAAAAATAAATTGTTAAGTGGTGAAAAAAAATGTCTTGAATGTATGAAAAGCTAGATGATTGCAGTATGGAAAAATATTTAGTATTTTTAAGTCGAGCAAATAGATGCAAATCAGGGATCCTGGACGTATAAAGGAAAAATGAATGAGGTTAATTTTTTATAGTAGGACTGACTGCCGGAGTTATTCAGAGACTGTATTGATTTCATAGTAGTGATTTGTTATATTTCAAATACAATTTTGGTTAGTAAAACTAATCCAAAATCAACTGGTATAGTGTGTAAAAACGGATTTCTAATGATTCCATTCTTCACTTTCCGAGATAGTAAAGTATAAATAAATGATTAGCGTTTATCAGTTAGTTTTTCTTTTTCTTTCTGATTTTGTATTTACATTTCGAACGGTTATCCGTTTTCCATGGTGTTTCGAACTCGAACTCGTTTCTGAACCAACGTCCGAGATCGAACCAGTGGTTTTTAATGTCGAGAGAAAATTTCGTTCGATTTCGATCACGGCCAGGCGCGGATCTGGATGCACGAATAAAATTATTTTGTAAATCCGCAACTCCGCATGCACCTTAATTCCGCACAAAAAATTAATGTACCGTAGCTCCGGATTCTAAAAATATTTTTAACACCGAAAGTCCACATGGCATAAAATTGTTTGAAATATTGAAAACGCTGGAGTTCCACATTTATCAATAAACCTATTAAAATATCACTATATCAGTGTAAAATTTGGTAATTTATTTACTTCAGCACATCCAAATATTGCAATTTTCATTAAAACTTATTAGCTATGCAGACAGATTCTTACATACGAATGAATTCTGCTAATCATAATGAAAGTAGTTAGAACTAAACAAAAAACCAATATGGAATTTATAAATAAAAACATAGAATTTTATAATGACGGTCATATTGATAGATATAATTTTATAAAAATCTTGTATGCGGGGTTTAGGTGATATATTACAAAAAGGTCACGGTGCATGCTCAGTTACAGTACACCGGCAGATTCAAGGGGGGTCTGACCCTCCTAAAAAAAAAATATTTAAAATTTATTTAAAAATTAATATATGTATAAATTGCGTTTTTAATTATTTTCAATTAAATTTTTTTTGCAATAAAAATGTTATACAACATATTCTATTTATATACCACCAATTGTTTATAAAATCATAATTTCTATCCAACTTCTAAGAATATAAAGCAATAATAATAGCAAAGAATAATAGCAATTATAAACTTACCGATAAACTATAATATTGTTGGCGATTAAGTATAAATATAATAGGAAATCTGCAGAAATGTTCGAGTGTTCAACCTTCGACGGAAAGATAAATTATCTTAGATAAGATTATTGTCAATCCTTTACCCATATGTCTATATAATGATTATATAGATTATATTATAATCTATTATATACTTGTTACGGCACCGCTAATCGCTAATTTTGGTTCTAATAACTTGTTACAAAATACCTACTATACATGCGATCATTCTTTACTCCCAGATGCGGCTTCCTTCAAACATGGGAGAGGAACGCCTCACCGGTGTCGCTTTGCTCAACATTAACAAGAATTTACCCATAAATGTTGACGATATTATTACTAAATTTGATAAAGCAAAACAAAGAAGATTAAACTTTGTAATTTAATTTTAAAAATTAACGATTTTATTTAAATAATAAAGTTCTAATTCCAATCAACAACTTACTTTAAATTTTTTTGTAATCGTGTGCTATCTTTTTGACATTTAGAAAAAATGCCCCCCCATATTTGAGGTCTAGATCCACGCCAACCGCAGCAGTAGTGTTTGTCCGCGTCGGCCGTGTACCGGATGGTACCGCGGTAACGGTTGCGGAACAAAGGAGGCCAGAGGAGACGCGCGTTGCCGATCGGTTCTGGTTGTCCGCAAGCAAACACGGTACCGGTATAGCGGCAAGAGGGTGCGTGTGGTGACGTTTAGTGTAATTTTATTTTCTCTTAGTGTAATTTTATTTTCTCTCGGACGGAAGGGGCCGCGAACGAACTCATTTCCACCGGACCACCCGGACTAACCGAAGCAGTGCGCTCGCGGACACGTCTAGTTTCGGTTTTTTTTTACATAACACCGCGTGTGCACAACATTACGTGTACGACCTCAAGGTCGTCGGTCGGCCGACCGTGCAGCCGCCTCGGCGACGTGCCCACTTTTTCTTTTCTCGACGGTCGCGCGTGTCCCGCCGGAACGGCAATACGGTGCCGACCGTTCTCGCGTCGCCGTCTCTCGCCCGACCCGTCCGCGAGCATTCGAAACATGCGCGCGTCCGACACCCGGTGACTTCCGTCCGATTACCGCCCGGTCCCGCCGCAGGGCCATTTTTCTCCGACGGTCGCGTGCCGTCCCGGCGAACCGGCAGAGTTTTCCCGTTCTCGGCTTCGCTCGCGTCCGCTGCTGCACGTACGACGATGGACCGCGAGCACCGCTGCGACGTTCGCGTCGTCGACGCTTTCAAGAGCTACGGAGGTAACGTCCAGGTACTCGACGGTTTGCAGATGACCGTACCGTCGTGCACCATGTAAGCGATTTCGTTTTTCACGAAAGTTTTTTTATTTAAGTTTTTTTTTTCTATTTCTATTCCCGACCCCGCCTTGCACCGCGATCAGAATGCGCGAATGACGGCCGTGCGCCCGCGCACACTTTCTCCAAGTACGAACGGCCATTATCATCGTTACGATGTAGAGTTTGCAGTCGGCGTACGAAATAATTCGTTCGGCCCCGTCCGGAGAGAGTCCGCGCACGAGTCATGTGGTTGACCCGCGGGTCTTGTAATGTTGTGCGAAACATACGTTTCCGTCTTGTAACACAAGTGCGCGCGAGTTATGTAAAATTTGATCCGGGCCGTTTTCCTCCCCCGTTAGAACAACCGAATATATTTTAGTATCGAATTTACGCTACTCCTAGGACCAACAGAAAACGGAAAACGCGCTACTGTGGTGTAGACCATGGTTCTCGAGCTTTTTTATTCGTGGGGTCACTGAGATGACCAAAAAAAAAAAAAAAAAATGGTGCATGAATATCAATTTTTAACCACCACCCATAAAAAAAATTATGTACTACTCAGTACTTGATTTTTAATTTGTTCCTCGTAGGTTCGTTTAGCGTATAAAAACATAGCGTCAATACTATTCAGTCATTTATAAGTTTTAATGCCGATGATAATATTGTTCGTTTTCATTTCAATAATTTGTTTGACGAGAAATGGGCATGTCTGCTCATATACAAACCTCATGTATAAACTGCTGGTATAGACCGATTTATCAACGGTGTGTGGATATAATTGTATTAGTATAAGCACTTGTGTTCCGGTAAAAATGTACTCTGTAAAATATTATCAAATCAATCATTTTATTATTATTCGGCACTAGTTCTGTCATAATATTTTTAAAGCAAATATTTTACAAGCCGTTCGTGTTGTAACGTAATATTCTAAAATTTGTAATTAGTAGTTGAACGTTTTGATTGTTTTTACTGTTGCGGTTTTGTGGCTGCCTTTATTCAATTATGTTTTAAAATAAGTCACGGCTGTAACTACAAGTTTAAACTTTGAAATTCGTTATTATAGTTAACTATAATAATATATAATAATAATATTAAAACTAAAGTTTTAGTCAATGTATTTACGCGAATAAATGAAAAAAATGTATAAAACACTTAAAAAGACAATCGTAACTAACAGGGCCGTATTTAGGGAGAGCTACAGGGTGCTGTTACCTTGGGTGACTAATTTTTTATACTTTCAATATTTAATGATCTAATATTTTTGTGAAACTTCTTTACAAAATAAAAAGTGTATTTCAAAAAAAATATATATCACCAATCACGGCATTACGACACACACACATACACATACTTGATAATAGTCGAGCACTGTCGATAGATCCAAAGATTTACAAACAATCTATCCTTATGTTGACATTGCACTTAGAATGTTTTTGTGTACACCGGCAACGAATTGTTCTTCAGAAAGATTTTTTTTAACCGGCAGAAATTTGTATTTGGTATAAAGAAGCGTTTTTTTATTGTTGCTCCCTGGTGTCAAATTCCTAAATACGGCCCTGGTTACTAATTTTAATTACGAGTATTAATCATACTCGTAATTAAATATTTTTTGTTACATAATGCCTACTCCAACCATAAAAGGGTTCACATAGATTTTCATGAAAGTAAACTATTTAAGTTTATCATCGGAAAAATATATTAATTTCTTGTACATCTTTTTTCATTATTTTCATTAGAAATTTGACTATCAAAAAATCCGGAAAGTACACTTTTACATATTTCTCGTATTCATTAAGTAACTAGAAAAATGATAGTAAAATCATTTCTAATATTATTGATTTTTGGGCTTATATTGTATACAATATATATAATGTATTTCACCATTCACTTTAATTATGTTGTCTTAATTTAAAAATATAACCAAGTTAATTAAAATATTTTTAAAAAATATGTATAGGTCCATTTAATTTTTTTTTTTAATATTATTATTATTATTTTCATTTTAAAAATCTGTAATTTTAGGTTTTATAATAAGTTTAAGTGTTGTAAATTTAAGATAAAATAAGAAAAGGAAAAAGCTATCTATTGGTGGAACTTCCTGACATGTATATAAGGGGGTTAATTATTTAATAGTTAACGACACCTAGTTCGTCCTTAAGTGCTATCTGGGATCTGGGAATTGTGGGTTATTGATAGTTTTAGGGAATTAGGTGATTTATTAAATTTGAACGAAAGCACAAGTAAAAGATTTTAGCAAAATTTTTATCGGGTTGAATAGAGATCTTTGTGGGGAGTATAATTTGAGACTGTATGGGGCGTTGGTTATAAGACGGAAAAATTCAGACTGAAATGTTTGAATTTTATTGATGTTAGAAGATTTGGTTAGGAATGTTTAGCAAATTCTAAAAGTTCATGTTGGTTTGAGGAGCAACTAATCAAAATTTAACACGAAAACGTAATAACCACGTCTTGGAAACGGTGACGTTAATCTATAATTATTTTATATATTATTTTATATGGCTTTATCATCTCTTAACACTAGATAAATTATTTTTCTGAAAAAATAATTGTCAAGAATGAATTGTTTTATTTTAGTTTAATTAATTAAAAATATATTTTTTTATTGCAAGTCTACTGCGCATCATTTATCGTATCAGTCATTTGACGTTGTAGTTATTCAAATATACACTTTAAAATTTATTTATGAATTTGAGCGTAATTCAGTTATAATCCATGCAGATATATGGACATAGTATCAAAAGTAAGATACAAACACGTAATTTAGAGGATTGTGGTAAAAGCGATTGCCCCTCCCTCCTCAAATATTATAGTTTAGTATCCATGAATTAAAATATATAAAATATGTCATTTTATTGATCATTATTTGAGCCCCAATAGTTTTGAAGAAGATTAATCACCCTCTCCTTAAAGTAAGCACCTTTACGCGCTTGGTAAGATGACATCTAAATTATTGTTTTAGTAGTGGTAAATAAACCAATACTAAGTATAATGTAATGCGAATAATCGAGTAAGTTAAATTCTCAATTTTTTATTGTACCTCTTAGTTTTGAAGTTTATAGGTGCCGGACCTACAGAAAACAAAATTTATGGTATGGTAAAAACTTTTAACTTCGACCCTTCGACCGTTATATTTTTCAACGAACTCCTTCGCATTCACCACGTGCTGTTTAAACGCCTTCACCGTTTTAGTAATGTTAGTTTGAAAATATTGGATCTGACCTAATATTTCATTTTTGCACTCGTAAACTACTTATAGAAACGATAAAATTTGGATCCAAAACTCCAAGACTACCGTTCTTTTGATTCGATCCAAGCGATAACTATAATATACTAGTATATTCTAGAAAGTTGTTATTTCTGGTAATTTATTAAATAATATATAATCGTTCAATATAACGATTTAACATTCAACGCGATAAATGTTCAAACTGGAAACAATTGTCAAAAACAATGACTTAATAACGTTAGTGTTTACAATTTATGAACATCGGTCTGATATGTACGGCCTGCACGTTACTGGGTCAGTACGCGATGAACGAAACGTTAACTATGTCAGTACACATTCCGCCGTTATAATTTATTGATCTGCCAATTAATTGTCGAAACTTATAACTTCTAGCGTATGCTTACATCAATGGATATAATTTGATAACGTATGAATAATAACAAAGCTTAACGTTTTGTGGGATTGATAGCGATTTTAAGGAGAATCAAAATACTAAATTTGTATACGGCAGCGTTACAAAACAATACGTGGGAGAATTATTTTCAGAAGAATAGATTAAAATGGTGAAGTGTATACAGAGCTTATTCATATTTTAATTTGCATAACATTGCTGAAATATTGTGTTTACAAGCGATCAGCATGTTCACATATAGTGTGTGCTTTCTTTATTTGTTCGTACAATGCTTATGTAAATAGTTAGAACCTTGGTGGTATGTGATAATTATTAAAATCGTTATTGGGATGACTTTTTTTTATTCAACAATAAAGTCAAGTGTAAATACTAAAAGTAAAAGAAAACACTCAACAGTGGTAGAAGGTTGATTGTAAACATTACTGCGATGTCTCACGGACAGTGGAAAAAATGTTTACTCATTTAAGTTTGATAATAAAAATAAACTCACTAGTGAATGGCACTGTGTTTTGAATTTGTCAATTCAATTTTAGAGTAAAGACATTGTAATAAAACCCATATTTAACAGATAATTATAGTTGCATTTGAAATTTAATCGAACTTCATCAACTTTTTTAAGCGTACATATGATTATAATAAACACCGTGTTGAATGGGCATTTAAAAATATTCGTAATAATACACGATAAGATCAGTAAGGTAAAAAAAAAATATTTAACATTCACTTCACATGGCGTTATCCGATCTAGTTTTATGTACTTTTGTCATACTCAATAAAACGTTCTTTCAATATTTTTTTTTCCGGAAGTTCATTCAAACATGTAATTTATTTCAATACTTATTAAAATTATTGTTATCACCAGAAAATGAAATTAAAATTTTATAAAGTTCAACTAATATTAAATGATGAGATTGAGGAATTTAATCATTCTTCAACTGGATCTATAAATAAAAAACAAACTCTACAGGAATTCAAGTGATCATAGAAGTGAACAAGTGGACGAGCTTAAAAGTAATGATATTATAAATGTTATAATTTTTGTAATAAAATAATTGTTTACATAAAATGAATTAGAAAATATTAACACATTACACGCATTATATTGCATATAATTTATGAATGATAGAAAACTAATAATTAAATAATAATATTAAATAATTAATAAATAATAAACTATTTTTATCATTTTTGACAGGCAAAACAACAAAACTTTTTCAGATATCAAAAAGTAATCTGTAAAAATTACGGGTTTATCATAAAATCACGTAGTTTGACATTTTCTAAAATATTTTATACCGTATAAAGGGGACGTGTTATTCAAAATCATAGCACCATTATTATGGCTATACCTAATACGCAACTATTTAAGAAAAAAGTTTTCATTTAAAAATTAAATTAATCGTAGTCGTTTCATTGAAATTTACAACTGTAAGAAAATGTGTTATAGATTCGCATATATTAGTTACAGTCTTTGATTAAAAGTTAAATTTAAATTATTATGTTAGCATTGTTAGAACTTATATCTATATCATATCAATCTGCATTTATTCGATTTGACATAACTTAACTTTTTTTTCCGTTGAATTTATTCTTTGCAATTTAATGCTTTATTATAGGGACCTTCACTGTCAAGATTTGATGTAGATATGGCTGGTTGAAGAAACTCACAAATTGGGATTTTTTTCGTTTTTCTTGTGATTATTCTTCTTTTTACTATCGATTTTAAAATAATAATCTTTTTAAGTCATTTAGTTTTAAATATTTTTTTTATATTTTAAATTTTAATACAAAATAGAAAAGTAGTGTCATAGCCATATTATTTTCTCAAAGAAATAATTTAATTTGTTCGTTTAACTATATAATTTGAATCAATAGTAACATAATATTTTTAATTTTAATAATAAGATATTACAACAATAAATATATTTTTAATTTTAACATTTTTATTTCATTATTGAATAATTTCAAAATGTTCTAATGCTACGTCTGCGTATTTTTTTTCACAGCTATGGACTTTTAGGACCAAGTGGCTGTGGTAAATCAACACTACTTCAATGCATTCTGGGTACAATGTCATTGGACTCGGGATCTATTGATTTGCGAGCCAAAACTTTAAAAGATGTCGGATATATGCCCCAAGTAAATATTTAAGACTTACCTGATTGTAATTCAGTTATGTCAATACTTACTTATTTTTTTCCTAAAGGATTTATGTTTAGAAGATACACTGTCTACAAAAGAAACATTTGAGTATTATGGAAAACTATATAATATGAGCAAAAAAGATATTACGAGTAGAATAAATGAACTAAACAAATTTTTACAATTACCAAATTTAAATAGTTACATAAATGAACTAAGGTAATATATATTATTCATTTATGAAAAGGTTAATAAAATAATCAAAGAAATATTTAAAAAGTGGATTGCAAGTATTACTCATTTAGAGTAGCTAAAATTTCAATTGAATTGAGTTAAAATTAATATTTTGTGTCTTCTATATTGTTTTTTTTCAAAGAATGATATGAGGTAAAAAAAATGTTGCACTCTAGGTAGTTAGTTTTCACTGACAGCTATATTATACTATATAATGTTATATTTTGTTTGCGAATTAAACTATATTGACGGGTTACACAACACTTTAAACATATAATTGTTGAGAAAATGGTTATTGATCATAACTTAATTTTTATTTGTACTTAGTGGTGGTCAAAGTAGAAGAGTATCACTTGCTATAAGTTTATTACACAATCCAAAAGTTATTATTTTGGACGAACCTACTGTTGGACTTGATCCGTTGCTGAGACAAGAGTAAAGAACTTAATTATTTTAGAACTAACTTATTTTGTTTTAATCATTTAAACTCTAATTTAGAATTTGGGCAGAGTTTTCAAATATGGCGAACCAACAGCAGAAAACAATCATAATTACTACTCACTATATCGAAGAGGCAAATCAAGCTGATCGCGTGAGTCAAACGTTATTATTGAATTAAATAAAAATACAAGCAGCGTAATATGAATACTACTGGTCGATCAATTATTGAGCACAATAAAATATATATGCAAATATAATGTTTTTTCAAATAACTAGGAAATATATAGTCCATGCCCTATAAAAGGTTAATTAAAAGTATAAATTAGAAGAAAAAAAAGATGCCATACTTTTAGACATTCCAATAAAATTAATCCTTCGGGTGATACGTGTTTTGGTTAAACCAATGCAAATTCAGTACCTACATCAATTTTGTATTGACGGTGAAAAAATATTTATAAAACTAGATCTTTTTTTACCTATCGGGCAAATTTGGATAATTCAGTATATTTTGTATATTTGATAAAATTGATCGAAAGTAAATTTTTTATTCTACTTAATATTAACTGAGTACATATCTATGATTTGTGGACGAATTGGAAGATTGCCGTCGCAATTGTTAATAATGTATTCGTTCTGGTTACTTGTAATTAGGATAGAGATAAACTAAGAAGTAAAGCAGTAGTGTTTATATATAAGCTGTGCTATGTATATTTATTTATGTGTTATTTTATATTTGCTATTAATTACATTATTTTTTTTTTTTTTTTTTGTAGGTTGGCTTAATGAGAAGCGGAATAATCGTAGAAGAAGGATCACCTCAAGATATTCTTTATAGATATGGAACTGATTCATTGGAATCAGCCTTTTTAACTATATGCTGCAATCAACAATTAAATAAAGTACCTAATATACCTATATACAGTTTTATGTATTTAAGCATAAACATTTTTTATCTTATGAATACTTATTACTAGTAGTCGTAAGTACATTTACATGGTACTAATGGTTATATAAATTTATCGATTTAAATTCAACGCATAGCAATATTTTATACACGAATTATACCGTATAAATTATATTATTAATTGAAAATATTTTATTATTCTGACAAATTTTATTAATTTGCATATTATAATTAAAACAGTTATAATTATTGCATGTATATTAAGATTTCAATAACGTGGAAATATACACATTGTACGATTAAATCGCTTTTATACTTGATTGAGCAATTCAGTTTTCAGTTTTTCGATTTTAAGTTTCAAATGTTTGTACATTGATTTTTATCGTACTCGAAATTAAAGAAAATATATTTTAAAGATATTTATACCCACATCTGTCCGATAAATTTTAGTCAGGAAAATATCTTACAAATTATAAAATATAGTTGAATAAATTATGCTAAGAATAAGTTTATCAACGCAAACATTTATTGATGTTTTGAAATTAAAATTGCAGCTGAGATCATACATGGTATATAAGTATTATAGCATGATTAGTTAGTTATTCGTAAGTTATTTAAAATCATTAACTTCGATACATTACATTAATTGGTTTAAAAATTTTGAAATAAATAATTTATAAACACAGCTGCGAGTATGTGAATCGTTATTATGTATTTATGTTGTTAGTGTTTACACGATACAACGATACGCCATTTGAACGTTTTCAAGTTCACAAAATGGCCTCTCTTCGTTATAAACGATAGTAAGTCATCAATTTAATATCGTCGTTTCATATAGTATCGTGACTCGAAAATATATCGTAACCTTATGTGCATTAAAAATATTGTTTTTTTTTTTTCGATTTTTTTTTTATGGTACCTTAAAATTTGCATAGTTCTTGTTAGAATATAGTTACTAGTAACACTATACATTGTTACATTATTCCACTACTATAATGACTGCACTGGCTTACGTCACGTTGAACAAGACGAGGAGAATGTTCAACGTCCGTTATTTGTTCGCAACCGACTGACTATTTTCGTCTTTGTTTTTGTTTAGAAAGTTGAGAAAAAAACCTACGTAAAAGATAAAACTCAATCAAAAAAGTTAATGGAATTAGGAAACAACGTTAATTTTTACCGGATAAAAGCTTTGTTAAAAAAAAATTATCACGTGTGCTCTCGTGATTACTTGTAAGTTTAAGATTGCAATCATCGTGCTTCTAAAAATATTAATTTTTAAATTCTTCATCAATCGTTTGCAGGCTACTGTTTACTATGATCGTGCTTCCCATCATACAGTCGTTTAACTTCTGTTCGGCTGTCGGAGTGAACTTCAAAAATATGCCAATAGCTATTAAAAATGAGGAAGTAAATTTTACTGATTGCCAATATTCCAATTTCAATGGATGTATATTTGACAAAAATAACAGTCTAACAGTTAGCTGTGTCATTATGAACTATCTCTCGTCGCTTGACTACAATTTAGTAAGTATTTTCACACCATTTCTGTTTCTTGGTACATTGAATGTTGATGCAGAAGTTCAATTTGTTCATTGAAGACGCTAAGAATATATAATGTCTTTGAAAAACAGACATGTTAAGATTACTTTGAATGAATGAACCGATTTTACAGGTCGAAGTGGCAAATCGGGAAACTGGTGAAAAGAGCATGAAGGATCCGAATTATATGGCGTTTATGTATTTTCATAAAAACTATACTAATGATTTGATTAATTACATTGACCGTAAAGATTTTGATGAAGATTCTAGGACTTATATTCATTTGACCAAGGAGAGTAAGTAAAATTGAAAAACTCTTTTTAGTGTTCTTATATCATTTATAAGTTTTTCAATTTATGCGTTATGTATTATTTTAGATTTGTTGTTCAGAAATCAAATTATGATGGATTTGTTGAACTCGATAAATCATTTATCAAAAAAAATATTAAATGATTGTAATAATAATCCAAAAGCTCTTGGAATTCCTATGGTAAGAGTAAGAAGATATATTTACTTAATTCTTAAAACGTAATTATTATTACTATTAGGTTGTATATTAGTTTTTAATATTCATCACAATCAAGGTCAGTTTTTCTGCTCGTTCATTGATAATAATTTAGGAGGATTTTCATTTATATTTAGTAGCATAATATGTTGATCATCATATTAAAAACCTACTTTGCCATATTGTGACCGTTAATAATTGTTTTTTTTTTATTTTTTTTATTGTATCCTTTGTTTTAAATTGATATTAAATTTTATGGAGTACTGTGTGAAATAACTGTCGATTTTATTGTGATATAATTTCAATTCTTCGAAATTGTATTACTCAAATTATAATAAAATGAATAATAAAAAAAATTAAATATTTATAAGGTATTGTTATAACAATTTATAAAAAAAATGTTGTTAATATACCTTATAAATACCTATTTAATTTTTTTTTTAGATCAAAATATATTTAAATTGTGCATACTTACTCGTAAACTTATTGAATCACTTAGATTTGTGTCTAATCAAATTTTTTTTTCTCAGAATTTCAATTCCTTATACGGAGAAGATGTAAAATCATACAACAACGGAAGCGTCACTCTTTTTATAGCAATGTAATAATTATATTTTATAAATAACATAACATAACATACAACATTTTTAACTAAACTTACATTATGGTTACACTAGTTAACATATTTCCGAGTCAGAATTAATTAACTAGTATATATATTATTTTCTGTATAAAAGTTTAAGATAACCTAATTAGTGATACGTTTTATTAAAAAATATTTTCTTTTATTTATATTATTTTCTTATATAACTTTTTTTTTAATCGTTTTTAGCACCGCATTTTATTTTCCAAGTGTTTTTGCGGCAAGCATGATGATGTCGGAAAAAATGGATGGTTTCCTTAGTCGATCAATGTTTGCCGGTAATTAAACATAATTTTCTGTTCACAAAAACAGCTATACGCCATTGTTAAGACAAACAATTTATAAAATTATATTTTAAATCCAGGTGTGAAAATATTGGAATTGCTGATTTCGCTGTTTTGTATTAACACAATAATACTGATTGCACAAATGATCATGACTTGTTTTATTTCATATGTACTGTTCTTTAATCCATTACAAATAACTTCTGGGCTGTTTGTATATGTGTTTATATTGATACTGTTGGGATGTATGGGTTTCTTCTTTGGTAAGTTTACAATAATTTAAAAAAAAATCATTGCAGTTTTATATGCACTTAGATAGAGAAGTTTTAGGGAATTCAGTACCCCAAGTATTATAAAAACATAATTTCTATTACCGCTCAATATTTAGCCATAATTTACATATACGATAATATTATCAATATATTTTATCTTTGTGTTTTTTGTATAATACGTCAACAATTTTACACTATAATTATATTTTTTATTCTAAACAATTCATTATTATTGCAAAAAAAATGTGAATTTTTGATTAGTTCATTGAATACACCGTAAAGTAAAAAACCCTAAAAATATAATACTTAATTTTTTAATATTTTGTTTATAGGTTTACTTACTGCTATATTATCCACGTCAAAATTAGGTGGCGTTTACGTCATAACCGGAACGTGTATGACTCAATTTATACTATGCGGTAAGTATAAATTTTAAATTATACTAATTGTTTTTTTGCAAGAAACGTTATATTACATTGTGTAGTATTCCACTGAATGCAGAAAACTATAAGCATTTGATTCATTTGTATTCCTATATTAATCAAAGAACTGTAAAATCCATTATGATTTACAAAATATTTTTAACTTTGATTTTGATCCATTTGATAGTAGGTGAAATGAAAACCTCTTGAAATGTACACTATTTTCTACAAGATTTATGTGTTATTGTTGTTACTAATTTAGCAATTATTATGTAGTTAGACACATAAAATATACTATTCCTCATTAGAGTACCATAATACAATTAATTTTAATGTTAACCGTGCCTAAGGTTTATGAGGAATGTGTATAATAATTATACTCTTGAGTAGTTAATTTATACTTACCTTTACGCCAGCTAACCTAATACGCAACTTCATTAGATAAAATTGAAAAAAAAAACACTGTAAATTAATATAAATAATAAATAAATATTAAGAATTCAATTTTAAAAGAATGTAAGAAAATATTGTTTTCGATAGTTTTCCTATACAATATCTTTGGCCCAGTAGATACTTTGAGTTTTAAATGCATGCTCTATTACTATATATAATATGTTTGCTTTACATTTAAACTTAATATCAAAGCATTATGATTTTATGATAAAATAAGTAAATAATGCATCTTAGGAAATGATTATGAATTATATCCTACAGTATGATAAATAGTAAAATTCAAATTAAAAATAAACGTGTTCATTGTTATTGTTTTATTTAGGTGCAATATGGCCTTTGGAAGGACAACCGACATTCTTGAGAAAAGTATCCGAGTTATTACCCATACGACTAGTGGGAAATACGATCAACAACATAGCAATTAAAGGTTGGACTTTCGATCATCCATCGATCATTATTGGAACTTCGATGACACTATTTTATACTGTATCTTTAGTATTTATTTTAATTATCTTAGGAAAACTAAAAAAAGACATATGGGTAGCACAAAAAAATTGTTTCCGTCATTAAAATCTGTCATCATTAACTTAAGAGATGTAATTTATTGTACATTTAATATTAGGTTAAAATATATTATTAAAAATTAGTTATCATATTTATATATAATGAAAAAATGTGAAATAAAATAAAAAAAAGTTTATTTATCAAATTATGATTTAATTTTAATAGTGTAGTATGATTTTTTGAAAAAGAAACTTTATAGTTGGTCGTTATTTTTACAAGTTCTATTTTGTTTTTGTGTCAAAATATTGTTACTTCATAATCAAAATAGTTTATGTATAATATATTTAACATTCGTAAAATATTTGATAAATTTGCTCTTAAGAGTTTAATTTTTCCAACATAACCTTATTAAATTTAGGCATTAGAGGATAGCTGAACCACGATTGATGTAGAGGTAAGTTTTGATTAACCAAATTTAGTCGAAAATTGTTTTCACAATTGTATACATTATAAACAGTACATTTTATACAATTTTGTTTATTAGAAAAAAAAAATTATAACAGTCCCGTGACTATTTGGCAGTAAGATATTCACAAAAAGAAAACGGATGAGCCTCATGGATAGGGTGAGATACAGGAATGAGAAACTACAATAAATAAATAAATTGTCCTTTTAAACTTGAATAATTTCAAGTTGCATTAATATGCATCATTGATTTCGAAAAACGATTTTAAGTGAAAAAGGTTAGATAAATCAGTCTCTATATCAAAATATAATAAATAACACAATATTAGAAGTACCTAATAATTTTGTAATCAGGTAGGTTAAAAATAGAAATAAAACTCATAAGTATAACCTCTGGACCTTGTTATAATAAATGTATGTTTAAAGTTAAAACCATCATTCTGGTTGCCTACTCTGTCTCCCACCGGATCCAGTCCACTGGAAGTGAAGTCCACACACGTGTAAATTTTCTTTTAAGAAAAGTGGGTACAAGTGCCTCTTAGTGCACTCTACCCCTCCCAAGCGAAAAATATATCGATAAAGACCCAAATGGTCGTTTCGATTCAAATTTGAAAAAAAAAAGAAAAGTTATAACAATTATTACAATGTATTATACAGATATATATGTATATATTGCTAGTACAACTATTTGTAGTCCATAATATTAAAAATAGTATTCAGCTTGTAGACCAAGATCCAATCATTAATATTTAAAGGCAAACAAGTTACGAACATCGTTTATATATCTATAATAGCTATCATAATGTCTTTCTTGTTTCTTTTAATGACCCTGTTAAGGCGATTGGAAACAGCATATTTATTTCACGTTGTAGACCTAAAATCCTGACAAGATTACGCATACTTAAAATCATCATAATTAAATTCTGTAAAAAGATTTGAGTGGATCAACCTTTTTTCAAGGTTAATGTGGAAATCGATTTTTGATATTTGTTTAAAAATTATCTTTAAATCTTATTTGAGTTTCTCAATTTTTTTTTAATTTTTAGATTTACTTTTTGTGTCTTTTTTAAGAATGTTAAACAGTGATTCTAAAATCGATTTCTACAATAACCTAGAAAAAAGGTTGATAAACTCAAATATTTTTACAGAATTGAAATCCGATCATTTGGAGTTGACGTTTTTTTGTCAGGCTTGATTAATTTTTAGAGTTTCTTTGTCAGAACAAAATATTTTATTTCATCAAATGCAATCTAACTTGTGCATGCGCGTGCGAACCATTGTTTCCCCGAAACGTTAAATTCCGGTGCGTAACACCAGCCGCCTGTGAACCGATAATATAATATAGATCCCTATATAGTCTTATTGTGAATTCAAATAAATTGTATTACCTATATTTATAATTTGGTATATTTACTGTAATGAGTTTTTACACATACTGTACGATTATGCCGCAGTTACCTATGGATTGAGTCGACACTTAGTACTTACTACTTATAGGAACCACATCTAACGTTTAGTTTCATACGTTTCAGTGCATTATTACTCGATTTTATATGGATTCATTTTCTTCCAGAAATAATCGATTCTAGGTTTGATCGAGGATTACCAATAAGGCCAGGCATTCCCGAAAAAAAGTTTAATACTACAATAATTGTAGTATGATAATTATTATTATAGTTATTGTGATAAATTATATAAATATAATTACCATAAAACTTACGAATTTATTTGTTATGATTATAAAACCTTTAACTTTTTATTTTATTTCTAATACATTTTGAATTAATTAATAATTAGATGTTATGAATATTCGTTCTAAAACTTTTTTTTTATAAAATTTGGCAACTGATGATTCTCGCATTCGAATTGCAAATGCATAATACTCATTAATTATTATGAATTGATAAATAATAATAATAATAATATTGAATAATATTACATGTCTTGCGGCGTATAAACGACGACGGTAATGACTAATGACAGTCCGTTTGCTGATAAGGTCGGAGCGTATTACTTTGGGGAAGTCACACACACACACACACACACACACACACACACACACACACACACTAA